CACTATCGTTCAACAGCATATGATCAATAAACTACAAAAGCTGCAGTAGTCATCCCTGTTAAAACCTGAAGGGGACAAAAATCCAAACCACACTGATGGCATGCTGAACAGTAATGGGAACAGGCTGCTGCCTTGAACTGCTTGCCTACCACACAATACTGCAAGCTCAGATATCACACGGCTCGGGTGATGCAAGGAACGCACAGACTTGATTCACAAGATTAAAATCCAAAGGCTAGAAGCCAATGAATCCCTCAAAGGGTTTGACAAACAGCCAAATAAGAATAGCAGACCAGGATATAAAGCTTATTATCTATTTATACAATGTTAGTAAGGTCATTACTGTAAGGACATGTTCTGTTCTGGCATCTATTCTTCAAAGAAGAGCATTCTGAAAATTAGAAATAGTTTAAAAAGCTGACAATGAGAACTAGAGGGATGAAAAAAAATTTGAGAAGTTCAATCCATTCATATAAAGTAAGATTGAAAGGTATTTTGATCATGGTATGTCAATCCCTGGATCAGGACATTTGCAGTAGTAGAACACCCTCCAAGAGAGATATATTGAAATCCAACAGTTGAGGGCCAAAGCGAGATGAAATCAAACATGGGGTTGGGTTTTGGAGCCTTTTCTGAGGCCAGTAGTTGCTCAAGTAACTTACCTACAGAGACGATGGATTCTTTTTCTGAAGCTCTTAAAGCAAGACTTCTTTTTTTCCTAAAATACATGCTTAACTTATTCACATTATGCTTCTACTGCTGAAATCAGTCGGTGAAGTTTTATGACCGTAATATCCACAAAAGTGATCACACACGTTCACCTCCACCCTCACCAACAAATGGAAACGTGAGCCTCTGATGGCCCTTACCACTAAACCCTCTGTTTCAGCTGCAAATTTGCCTGCTACTTCTGGGAGCCTTTAGGCCAATACTGGTAGCACCCATGGCTTTAAGAACAGTGACGGGTACAATCCTCTCTCCAAGCAGGAGAACCTGGCTCTGTGGGCAAAACCTTTGTTCACCAATTCGAGCGAGTTAGCACAAACTCAAAACCCAGGAAGGCAGGAAGAACTAGGAGACCCACACTGCAGCGATTTCCCACCAGAGGAGAAAGAAAGGAATTCTGTGTCCAGAAGCATGCACAAAGAGAGACTGGGATGAGTAGATCAGCTGCATCTGAGGAATTCAATGCAGCTGTTTGCTGGAAGCAACCACCCCTCATATCCAGAGGTATATGCTTGAGAGACAGAGGGAGAGAATATGGTTTATCATTCTTTCATATGACCAATTGCTGTATGAATGCAGACTCAAAATCTTGAGACGGCTGCTAATGAAATACCAATGGTGGATGAAAAGCCAGAGGGGAAAAAAAGGCCCTTGGTGGAAAGCAGCCAGCCCCAGTTCCAGAGCCAGTGCAAACTGCAGCGGCTTCCCAAAAGCCATCGTGGTGACCTGATGTTTTAAAGCACTCAGATGCTGCTGGCAGAATGAATCTTGGCAGTGGATTTGTCATGGAGAAGATTCAAGCTGAAGAAATGATTCTTGCAAGTGGCAGAACCCTACAGATTAAGGCAGGAGACACTCAAAATCTTATGTAAAACACGCTGAAAATTTGAACAGGTAACATACTTCCAAAGACTTGATTAGAAAAATAACTTAGGAATATATCCCCAAAATACATGCACAGACGATTACCTTTGCTTCAGCCATCAGTCATTTGATACTAAGTCTCACTAAGACTGTTGTATGAGGAAACTTCGCAATGTATCATGCAGGCTCATAATTCTCCATTTAGCACCAAAAAAATCCAGAGATTCTGCAAGAAGGATGAGGCCAAGACTCTGGAAGAACGCATTTAATTCAGCTACAAGGAACAGGAAAATTACACTGTACTTTTTCTATTTTGTATATTTATATTTTTAAATAAGAGGCCTGCTGGTAGTCCCTATGCAGGTAGAATTCTTTCAGAATTTAGAAAAAGGTGCCTCAGTCAGGACATCAGGACAAAACTGAAGTAGTGTCAAGATATTTTATTATATTAAATCTTCCAAATTGAACTAGCAACTGATAAAACAACTCCCACGCTATTTTTTTCTAGTATGAAGAATCTTTTGAAAACCTCAAACTTCAGTGCAAGCTCAGAGCATTTATTTTACAAATAGACTTAGAGCATTTTACACGTTTGTGTAAAGCTGCTCGTTACAGTAACTCCAAGGCTTAGCTAATCAAGCCTCACAATTAAAAAGAACCTAAATATGAATGTGAAAGAATACATATATTTACTATGAACAAATGCAACAAAAATCAGAGAGGTTTGCGCATAGAGTGCTTGCAAAATAACTCCACTTGCTGCTTTAGTATCAAAGCAGTCAAAACCAGCAACTTCCCAGTTATCTAATCCTTCTCCAGGGATTCTCACAACGAAAGAGTGAACTGAGCATTTTAGCTCATTCTTGATCATTTTGAACATGCAAATGTCAAGAACTCCTGGGAAAGGCACTGTATTGGGGAACCACAGGTACACCTGTAAGCACAAACCCCCATGCAACGTGTACTATGCACCTGTGTACTCAGTATAAATACGCACACATGCACAGAATTAAATTGGAAGTCTTTCTCCTTTAATACAGCCATGTTGGGTCTCAAATTTAAGCTCTCTGATGCTCTAAAGATTTCTGAAAACACAACATTTGTCTTTAACACGAGCACAAACTTCTGTCACAGGCAGTGTTGCTCAGCATGGGGAACCAAGCAGCAGCACAGGCCCACCCTGAGGCTGGTCCCAGGGCACTCAGCTCCTTCCCTTCTGCCAGCCAGGAGGGACCAGTGCTCCACCGGGCTCCACTCCACCTCCTCACACCATGTCTACATGCTACGGGCGGGGAGGAGGGAACAGAATCAACTGGAACAGAAACAGTAGCCAAAAGAGGGACGAAGAGGGAGTTCAAGATGCTAAAGAAGAGAGGAGGCAGCATCAGTCTCCCTTCCCCCTTTCCACTGTTGCCCCACTATCTGCAGCCACTGCTTCTCCGATCTTCACAGCCCCTGTCACAGGTATGATCTGCCCTTCGGCTGTGAACACTTTTTTTTCTGCCTCATGGCAGTACGCTCTCAAAAGGCTCTCTCCTCCCCCTTTTCTTTCTGAAAACCATCGCTAGGAGAGAGATCAGACAGACAAAAACTTAAACCAGTGCAAGTGTGAAATACAAGGTAAAAAAAGTCTTCTGCTATTACTGGACATGCTGCAGACATTGTGCCTAGTAACTGTGGCAATATGTAGTGCAAAAGAAACTTAGCATGAATCTTTTGTTTTTAAATGACATTCAACTCAAACATGCATAGGGAGAGTAAAGTTATTTTATTAAATCATGCACATCACGTGTGTTAGTGCAAATAGTTTAATCTGTACTCCAGAAATTCTATTGTATTTTTATACCTTTACAAAATAGATTTAAAACAATTATTTACTTTAAAAAAATGTAATTCTGAAGTTAAGCATTTCAGAACAATATTTGCAATAACCTATATACAAGAGGTACTAAGTACCACTGGCATACGAGTGTTCTGTGGTTGGGTGGCTTCCTGCAACTGAAAAGGATGAAATGAATTAACTAAATGACAATATTTTCTACAAGTCACTTGTGGACTATTTTTTCCAACTAATAATCCTCCCATTAAAAATCCCAGGTAACTTAAGATAGAACCTTTAATTAAAGGACAACGACCCTCAAAACCTCACAAAGTAAATTGTATGCTAAATTTCTATTTAAATATTTAAACTATCTGTCGATTGCCATAACATTTTTTAAAGCCAATTCAATTGCTGAGATTACCTCCCTGTTTTGAAATTTTCCTTAGCAGAGCCATTTTACTTTACCATTCTTCAGCATATTATTTAAGTCTTTAATAAACTTTTTTGACAGAACTGTTGAGCTGAACAAGACAACTACAGTCTATATTTAATTCAGCACTAACTACAGTGATTCCCACCAAAAGTCAGCAAATAGCAATAATTATAGTACTTAGATAAGGAAAATAAACTTTGTAATGGGGACCACTGCATCATACATACAGCCATGTGATGAGGATGCACAAAATTTTACTACCAAATTAAAATCATCTTGACCTGACAATACATCATCAGGTATATGATTCCAATTTTGTAGTATTTTATGTATCTTAGATTTTTTCAGCTAATCACAGACGTACTGTAGCAGTTCTCTTAATAAAGTTACGTCAACAAAAGCTTATCTAAAGAGCTTCTCCAGCTCAAGTCAGAAAGTATCAAATGACTGAAAAAATAAATTGATACATGTGGTACGTGAGAAAGTATTCATACTTTTAAAGAATGCACCTCTTTAAATATCTGAAATTTAATAAATTACATTCAAACTAAAGTTAATGTAAGTTGAATCACTGCACTATGTCCATCAAATGACCAAGTACTTGCTCCCAGAAATACCTTTGTTCACTCAAGAACACACACATGCTTACACTCGCACACGCGCACACTAAATACTCTAGGCTGGTCTTCACCATCGATATCTGTATCTCTTTAAGGCTGGACATGAATTGTGTTTACTCCCAAAAATCATTAATAAAGCAATCCTTATCAAAGAAAAATATGCTTCCTTCAAAAGGCATAGTAAGTTTTCTTAAGTCTTGTTCCCAACAGCTCAGTGACTAACAGCAAGTAAAATGGTATCCTTGTTTTTTTTTTAAAAAAAAAAAAACAAAAAAAAAATTGTACTGAAAGGCACTGAGCACACTGCATCTGTTTTCCAAGTATCTGCAATGTTACTTGGCTTGGGTGTCCAAATCAGAAATGTGTTTTTCTTTTTAAATCTGGCAATCAGATTCTATAGTAAGTGTCCACAACCCTAGCCATTATAAATAATTTGGTACCAAGAAGCCTACTTTAGGCCACCATTATAGTATTCAGAATCCCAACATACTAATTTAAAACTTGCATGAAATTGTAAGCAAAAATATTGCTCACAGTACGATGAACCACAATTTTATTCCCTCTTTATAGACAGATACATTTTATACAGTTTAAAGCAAATGACCCTACTGCTGTTCTCACGCAGAGCTGTGCTGTATTAACAGGTAAAAAGGAAGAGAATTAATCTGTTTTCCCTCAGTATATGAATGTTGCCAGCTTCTAAAGGGAGGACGGTGTATGGATTCAACAACAGTTCTCATGGAGAAGCTCTGGTTAGGCCTGGGTACAGCACCACGGCTGTTACAGCAACCAAAGCTGCCATCACAGGCATCCATGGCCATTGTCTCTGTGTGGAGAGAAAAAAAAAATCAATATCATATTTGTTCTAATTCATACTAATCAGTTTACCTCGTGGTTCCTGAAAGTCCTGAGTACCTGTTGATAGGCATCACTGAAATGTTACCCATGAGCCCTACCGCAGGCTAGTCCTGACTTAGAGCATGACAGTAAACCGTGCTTCTCTAGCAAGGGGAACTCCACAACTCTTCACGACTGAGGATCGTCAGGAGAACTTTTGGCAGTTCTGTATTTCCAGTTTCATTACCGTACACACCTCAAAGAAAACTGCTATTAAACCTGCCAGAGCTTAAGATGTTTAAAACATCGTTTGTGCCAAGTAATTGCTAGACACAGGATTATGCAGCACTGACATCTTTAACTTAGCTTTTGAATGTTTCAATCCAGATCTATGAAGTTAGTTTGCAGCAGATCCTAACAACATCATTTCAAATGGATTGTCACAACATTTCATGACAACAATAGCATTTTCAGAGGAGGACACACTGAGAGATGTTAAGAGAAAATGCAAGCTGAGAGTTCAGAATACAAACCAACCACCTATTTCTCATCTTGTCTTTTATTCCATCTTCTTCATAGCAATAGTGAGAAAAGTTAAAGTGTTTAGAGCCAGAGAGGAATTTCTTAGTCCATATATAGAACCAAAGCTTGTTGATTTTTATTATTATTTAGAGGCAAACTCTTCATTTTTCATAGTTAATTAAGCAATTAAGTTTTCTTACAGGCCCTAGTATTGCAGCATTGTGCAAAAGGTAGCCCATTTGCTAAAGACAAACTGAGACCATGTTAGAACAGGCACATTCAGAACCAGTTAGAACAAAATTCATTGTTAGAATTAAAGAAATCACACAGATGTTAAATGATTAGTTGATTGCTCAGCTCATCAGTATCAACAGAATGGCATATTAAATGAAGGGTTTGCTTCAGCTAAAGAAATACCTGTGAGCATTTCACCATGCACTATCTTATACAGAAATGGCACAAACAGGTGAGAGGGACAAACATACATCGACTGAACAGTAGTGCTTGTACCTTTCGCTACCACAATGGGCCGTAACACCAATACAGGAAAGCCAGGATTAGGCCGATGAATACGGCTGGGACGGGTTGTAATATGGAAGGCTAAAGAAGGGAAGGGATATTAAAAATCACTTTGTGCTATAAACCAATCAGGTAAAGATGATTTAGAGAGGGGGAAAATAAGTCAGTGAGTTTTGTTTTAATTGAAATGTATTAAAGACATCTAACACAATACAGCATTATCTAATCTGGTATACAAAGTTAGTACACCATTCTACTCAAATGAACAGGGATGTTTAAAAATAAACAGAAGTAAGCATAAAATGTTCTACAAAACCTCTTGTCACAACTTGGAATTTAGCACTTAAAAACAAAATAAATCTTAAACTGATTTGCCTGTATTTTATTTATAGTTGGTCTCAGTATTTCTAAGCGACAGGAAATCCCCACCGGATTTCTTAAGGCAGAAAGACTCACACCAGATATTGAATTTTTCAGCTACTTCTTCATTCCTTGCAAGTTAGGCTTTCCTATTTTCCACCAGCAGCTTCCAGGAGAAAAAAAAAAAAAAAAAAAAAATTTTTTTCCTCCATTAGTGAATTGATTAAAAATCTGTCCACAGGCAAACCCAGTAGTTCAGACTTTTCCGTGAGATTGTAACATGACTGTACAATCAACACTAAGCTCCTATACAGCAGGGAAGTACATTTCTATTAGAGACACCACAAAGATCAGCATCTCTGGCAGGTCATCAGCCTTGGGACCAAAGGCAAGTCTGAAAATTGATCAAATGTTGCAGCTGGGCCAAACTACCAGCTGGCAAGATTGCAGGGTTCATTTAGCTTATGGCCTTGCTAGAACCACCTACACGTTTTCTCAGCTACATTCAATTATCTGCAAACTGCTCTGCTTCTCATTCTGGAGGGACAGCCTCTCTCCTTAAATATGATAAATTAAAAGCAAAAAAGCACCAGATTCCTTTTTAAGCTGTCCTTGGAGGACATCTGCTTTCTCTGTATCCTAGGTTATATATTCGTGCACACACACAGACACACACAGGTTAAGTTCAAACCATGCCAAATATATTCTTAAGAACTTTTTTGTGCTGAAGCCACCTTGATTTTGTTTGGACAAATAAATAATAAATTTATGTATGAAGACTTTCTAAAACATTGAGATTCGTAAATAAAATCTCATCCTGTTAAGAATTTGTAGAAGTCACTTAATCATAGAACGTCCAATATGGTTCGAAACAGGAATAATAGAAGGTATTCTAGTCTCTGCCATTCAATTCAAATTTGTTTTGATCAAGGCAAGTATTTAATAGACAAATTATGTGTAATTCTTAAAGTCTTTTTCATGCAGGATTATTTTTGTGTCATTGGTGCCAAAAATCAGAGTGCCACCTTCCCACAGAAAGCATGTTGGTAGAAATAATCACAGCAGTGTTCAAAAAAGTGCCACAAGTTTAAGTCAACCAGAGCAGCTAATGTTCTCAAACCACTCACATAAATAAGTCTGTCATACAAAGCGCATCAGAAAATTATCAGTGACTACAAGCATGCAAGCACAAATAGTACACCACACTGCTAGGAGTTTCAGAACACAACACTTCTTTTTTTTTTAGAAAGTAAAAATTATGTATAAAAACTTTATATGATACCCCAAATGGAGTACAGAAGCCTTGTCTTTTTTAACATTTGTTAGTTCATTGAACAATTCTATGGACTTTTTAAACTTTTTTTAATTTTATTTTTTAAGTTATACGCATTCATGGCTGCGGCATCTTAGAAAATGAAACAGATGATAAATATCCACCATATTAAATGAAATTGCCTCCAAATGATTAGATTTCCCCCCTCATGAACTTATCAATCTATAACAAATCTCCTTATTGTTGAGGAGCATTTAACTAGGTGCTTCATCAAAAAATATGCATCCTGTATTAGAACAGAAGGTACGCAAATGCAGACACAAATGGGCTGCAAAAAGGAACAAATCCCACAGTGGGAACTCACTTTTTGTTGTACACCGTCCTCAGAAAAGAAGTAGCAGATAACGATTCCAGCATAAGGGGACAACGGTACTTGAAAAAATCGACCTTGGAACTCAGCCCAGTGTCCATGATGCGTCAAATAATTCACAAGTTATGTATGTTTGACACTACTGACTGTGAGTGAGTAATGCTTGCTTGAACAGCAAGCTTGTCCTGGAAGCCTTTTTATGGTTGGATGCTATTCATTGTACCCTGACCTCCAGGTTTCAACTATCACAACTAACTCCTCCTCTGGAAGCAGACTTTGGCAACTGCAATGGCTCCTGATTTCATTTAGATACTCATCTCAGATTCTTCCTAAAATTTCCCTACCCTTGCAAGCTTTTCCTTTTTCACCAGGTGCTCCAATGCCCTTCACAGTATTTCTTCCCTTTACTATCCCCCTTTTTCCACTGATCGTTTTAATCCTGCGGTTAATGTTTTTAACAGAGCAGAAAATCTCACATTCACAGTTATTTATTCAGTGTGATCTCTTAGAATTGTAGAATCATAGAATGGTTTGGGTTGGAAGGGACCCTAAAGATCATTTGGTTCCAACCCCCCTGCCATGGGCAGGGACCCCTTCCACCAGACCAGGCTGCTCAAAGCCCCGTCCAGCCTGGCCTTGAACACTGCCAGGGAGGGGGCACCCACAGCTTCTCTGGGCAACCTGTGCCAGGGCCTCTCCACCCTCAGAGTGGAGAATTTCTTTCTTATATCTAATCTCAAGCTACCCTCTTTCAGTCTAAAGCCATTACCCCTGTCCGATCACTATGTGCCCTGGTAAAAAGTCCCTCTCCAGCTTTCTTGCAGGCCCCTTCAGGTACTGGAAGGCTGCAGTAAGGTCTCCCTGAAACTCTCTTCTACTAGAATGGCAGTTTGTTTGTTTGGTTTTGACTTCTGCCTACTTTGGTAACTCAGTATCATCTGAGCATTGCAGAAGAACCCTAAGCAGGAAGCAAGTTCCATGAGAATTTCAACATCATATTCTTGAAAATACGGCTGAAAAAAGTGAGGGGGGTTTGAATTCTTCACATCTTTTGACAACTCTACCACGTTAGAGGTTTACATTCAGTAAATGGCTACAGCAAGAGTATTCATACAAACTTTGGGCATCTGGCAGCCAGCTGATTTTAGAGAATAGTACCTGTAAAACTTTCTTCATAGTCAGAGAAACATTTTTCTAAAAGGCTATTACAGAGCATCCATTATCCGCCTGTTTCGTACTGTCCACTACAGGAGTCGTTCACCCTGCGCTGATCATAAAGGCAGTACAGGAAGACAATAAACCAACCATCCCAGTGTAGCAATAAGGTAGCTAAAATGAGGCTACCTCTACCTTCTATTGTGTCTGCCGCACCCTTAACATTTGGAGGATTTCAGAAGTCTCAGGATTAGAAAATGTTGTCCCTAACTGTAAACTCAATTCTAGTAATACAACCTCTCAAATTAATTGCAACAGAAAAGAATATTTTCATTAGTGAATAGATAGGACAGTTCAACTGCACTGTTTACAGCATGAGCTGACCAGGGATAACCACTGTTAAGAAGCATGAGCAAGAGTAAGGAGGGAACATCCATTTTAATTAACACTAGTAAAATAAAAGCATCTTGAAAAAGGTTGCTTAATTCACCTGGATCCAGCCTTCTCTGCTTTCACCCATGTATCACTCTCAGATATTAAAAAGTTTTGCTTAGTTCTGGTTTACTAGTATTCAAGCCAGATGTTTTCAAGACAACAGATATCTAAGGCTGTATTTAAAACAGTCACACAACTGTAAAGTTAACCTGCATGCATAACTGTAACAGTGTAATGACCTGCAAATTTGCACGGGTAGTACCAGAATGGAATTTTGTATATAATACAGTAAACAGCCTTTTTTTTTTTTTTTAAAGTCTGTCCTTTTCTATTTGACACTTGCATATTCCCTCAATCAACAGAATTGCCAGTGTCATAACTGAACTTCCCCACATGTTTTGTACAGACTTACGTTGTTTCCTTTTTCTTGTAGCAGCTTCAGGTTTTCTTTACATTGTTTGAGTTCCTCCGTGAGTGACTGATTTTCTTGTTCAGCCATCTCATACTTCTCCTTCAGCTCTGAGAGCACAGTCTGTGTTCTTTCATACTAAACACAAAGAGAAAACAGTCTGCGGACCCCTGGACACCCAACATGTGCTCACATTCACTTAGCGTGCAGCTTCCTCTCCTGTCCTCTCCCTAGAGTAACTCGCCTTGGACCAGGTACACTCTCTTTTCATAAAAGCAGGGTACCAAAATCTTAGTTTAGATTTTCTTTTTTGCTAGATGAAGATTTTGTCCCTGACTTTGAAGGGGTTGGATTAGTAAAAACAAGGAAACATGAAGCAAATGCAAGGACTTCATTAATCTCTCCTACCAAACAACTACTCATTACCATATTGAAAAGGACCGTAAAAACCACGAAAAAAGAAGAAACAGGGGAACAAGGAGTCCCTTACATTTAAATAGTGGTTGTACATCTAGGCTGTAGCTTAAATACCTACGCCAATCAAACAGGTGCAATCAACATTCTGTATGCAGTAAACCAAACCCTCTTCCCATACAGCAAACTCCAACACAAGAGTAAGAAACGCATTTCTTACTTATTCTTTACAAATACAACTGATTACAAAGATACAGACTAACAAGACTGAGTTTTTCAAATTCTGAAAATGGTAAGGAATGTGACATGGATGAATTGATGACAGAGCAAAGAAAAGGCTGCAAAAGAAATTAAAAGCAGTGACTGGGGAAAGCTTCACTCAAAATGCTCATAAGAAAAAGCAAGTAATTGTTGGAGGCTATAGCCTTTTTCCATTCATACTCTTCAGAGGCTAGGCAGATGAAATACATGCTCAAAATGCTAGCTTTTCCTTATGCACTTGCTAATCATCTTCAGCAGCCTAATGATCCAGTAAGATGAAAGGGGATCTTTGTAAAGAATGTGTAGTCCCATTGTCAAATAAAAAAGTTTAAAGCTAACTAGGAAGATCATATGACTAAAAAGAATTAATTTTGACTCGTATCAGCTAATGCAACTCTATACCATGATGTTCAGGAAGACTCAGAATAAGGGTTTACCTTTCTGAACAGCTTAAAATCAAATTCACTAAGGTAATGCAAGAAAGTAAACCTTAGGAAATTCCCCAAACACAAGCAAGTAATTCTATCTGACATCTTCCTTTCTAGATTTAACTCCCAGTTTACATATTACTAGCTACCATAAAAGTAAGAAAAATTCTCATTTCTAGAAATCTTCTATTTTGCCTTTTCTTTTAACTCAAAAGTCAAAGTCATTGGGCATTATATTCTCTCAAAATGGAAATAATGTTTCGCGTTACCTCTTTCTGAACATCTTTTGCTTGACTCTCAGCTTCACTGAGTTGGCTTTTTAGACTAGCTGCATCCCGTTGATGTTTTTCTCTCAAAGATCCCATTTGATTTTCAAGTTCCTTTCGAGACATTTCAAGAACACTTATATCGCTGGTTAGCGCTAAACTCTGTTTCTGAGAGCTGAAAAACAAAATCCAGTTGATTCCTCATGTATTTTAAATTTAAAGAAACAAGAGATTTTTTTTTTAAAGCACTTTTCATCCTTCAAAGCTTCACACCTTATTTTTATTTACTACAGAAATATCAGCTTAGAGCAATCACAGAAGTGCAGATCACCATTGTCTCCCTATACTGACACAACAGGCTGGCCATAGCCTTGCTTTTAAACATATGTGCACAGCTTAGTGCGTGTATTTGTAATCTATAATTTAAATAATTTATCATTCATAATTTTTAGTTTATTTTATTTTTTATTAATCATGAAGTATTTATTATATACTCCAAAGTATACAAATTTGTAACAAGAAGTGTATCCAAGGTTGCCGGAAGTAATTTGCTTATTTGCACACACGCTTCTTTGCTTACTCCAGTTGTATAGGCTAACAGCCAATATATTCTTTAAGTGCCTAGTACAATTTTGTAATAGTCATGGATAGCTCTAAATTCAGGCATTACAAACTTCAGTGTAATAACCAAGTAGTGTTAATTCATGCCTGTGCAAACCAGAAAGAAAAATAAGGGAGAGATCTTGCACATCTCCATTATGCAAATCCTATACCTGCTCGTGTGACCTTCCATATGAAAAAAATATGGGTGGCAATCAGGGCATAATGGAATGAAAAAGAAAGTTTTGATTCCTGTAAAAAACCACATTACTTCTAGAAATGTTTTAGTGTGGGAAATTTCAATTTTTTCAATTAGATCTTACAACAGTGAGGAAGCCAGAAGAAAAAAAAAAAAAAGACAGCTAAGCCTGATGTTAAAATTCAGATCTAGAATAAAACAAAGCTGCTGTCCCATGTTTACTTTGTGAATTAAATTCCAATATCTGAAACGGAAAAACAACGTAATAATGGCAGATGAAGGGATAAGAGGGGAAGTTACTTCCAGGCAGAAGTTTTAGCCTTTAGCAATGTCATATGTTCCAATAGCAAAGAAATACAGTAAAATACAAATACTTCTGCACTCTAAAATCCCTCCCCCCAAAAATATATGGTGCTTGCGATAAAACAATTTGTATTTTTCTGATAAGCACAACATGATACAGAATACTGTTTCTGCCCATCATTACTACTTCTAATGTGGCAGGCTTCTGTGAGACACCACACTATCCAAGACTCATTTTCCAACCCCGAACGCTGAGTAAATTTTAGGTTAGGAAATCTATTTAGTTTATTATCTTTTAAATAGAAGGATAATTGTTAAGCCTAAATACTTCCACAATGCACTCTTCCAAGTCCTTATTAAAAGCAGCAAACTAAGTCAGGCTACCTTACGATGATATAACAAGACTGATAAGTAATACAGAAGCAATTGCAAAACAGAAAAAAATAGCTTGGTATACCAATTTGGCATGAAAGTGTGTTCTGCCCAATACTATGATATAAATAAACATTCAATACCCTTATTGAAACACCATCAGATACTAAATACCACTTTTGGAAAGAAAAAACAACACAAAAAAGCCTCTCTTTAGCTACCATGATACCTTCCTAGACGAATCCACTGTGCTCTTACCTAGAAAGCTCCTTCTCTTGTCGCTGAAGCTCAGACGTAAGCAAAGTATTTTCCTTCCTTAGTGTAACACATTCAGCCTCCAGAGCGCTCCACTCTGCCTTCAACTTTTCAAGTTCACCTGCAATGAATAAAATTTACTTGAATTGAATAATGTTATTTCATGACTGCTTCAAGTATCACCAGCTAATAAATGGAAGAAAAGCTGGTATCAGTCATAAATCTCAAATATATTTCATTATAATAATGTCATATGAATTGTCACAAGCACCTATAAAACATTATAATATCTTATACTGTAATGAGGTTTGTGAGCCATTAAACAAGCTAGGGTTTTTTTTTTTTTATGTGAGCTTTTTCTAAGGTACAAAGAAGTAAAAAAAAGTCTGTTTATGGATCTACTCTAGTATTTTAGAAACAGTGACAGAAAAGTGTATTTGAAGAAAACAATATCCAAGACTTGCATATAGCAAACAACCAGAATCACTACATACCATGCTTCCACTACAAGGAACAGAATGTTTAAAGCAGTAACTAAAGGGTGAAAATGAGACCTCTGAAATAAATCAGTCCCTGGTAAAATAGATAAAAATTAATTTTACACATGGTAATACAGAGACTGGAGTCTGAACTGCAAAAAGGCTTCTCTGACAACTTCACAAAGATTAACTGATTCAGAATTTAAAGGATATTTTACTTATGCCAGTTTCTCAGTGGCACATACAAAGTTTCAGCATGAGCTTTTGAACTCTGTTAGCAGATTTTCCAAGTCCTGAAGCTACAGGCCTGGAGCAGTGGCTCTCAAGCAGTCCTAGTGAGATGTGGCTGCATTACAGGTAAAGTGAAACGCAAATGAATGAGCCTAGAAGCAGCCCTATGCTGGCTCAGCACAACATATTCGCTTACCTCTACATCATGCGTGCAGAATAAAGCTTTGATTTTAAATTCCTTTTAACATTTTTATGTTAAAAACGAGATAGTATTAACGGTTTTATTAAGCCATAAAATACAGTTATTTGTCTCGAATGAAGCTATGCATTTACCGACTTAAATTATACAGAAGTTACACAAGTCCTTTTGGAAATCCGTGGCAGTATCAATCCCTCAAACAGTACAAGTTTTCCATCTTCCTTAAGTGGAATGATACTTGGTCTACCTCTAATATCAAAGGGTACCTAAGCTAATTTAGGCATAATTGACAATTATTATTTAAGAAAGTATACAAAACTGCTTTTGTAACACTACAAGCCTTGATAAACAAATATAAATACACACGTATATATGTGTATATATATATATATAGACATAGTAAATGACTACAGTGAGATGGACAAATAGTGATTTGAATAACTGACATTCATCAGATCAAGAAGGATGCTACTGTTAGCACTCATCTGTGGCATCCTTTTAATCAAGCACCTTTTAAGCGAGTAGCCTCTTCCTTCTGCTCATCCTCACACTGCTGACATCTGAGCTGAAAACTGGCTTGCAGACTGACAATTTCTTTTTCATAATCTGAGGCATCTTTCCGCCACCGTTCGAGTTCTGCTCGCACTGTTTGCAGCTCATCTTGCAATGCAGAAATATCTGTGTCTCGTTCTGATGCTGCCTTTTCTGCTACTTGTTGAAGTGACAGAATCTCGTTCTGAGCACTAACTAGTTCATTTCGAGTGCTTGAAATTTCATTCTCCTTTTCCTCACGAAGATTCTCAATATCTTCTTGCAATCTTCGCAACTGAGCTGGAAAGCATACATTAACATTAATATTTTTTAAAACTTTATTTACAGAAAATCTAAAAACGTAACTCCCTTAGTCAACTTGTTAACTGTTTAATAGGACTAAAGAATCCTAATGCAATTGAAAAGATATTAATCTTGTCAAATGCTATACCCTTGAAGAGACAGGTATGTGGGGTCATGTATTACCGAGAGTCAAAGGAAACAAGAATTACAGTTGGAGAAAGCTTTCTTAGACAGGGACGTGTTATGTGTGTGATACTAAAGCAACGCTCCAAAATATGAAACCAAGATTTAGATCCAACTTCACTGTAAGCACAACAAGTAGTTTAGAACAAGGACATGGTGGGGTTTGGAGGAAAAGCAAGAAAGCTTCTGCGACAAGCCAAACACTTGCAAAGCTACATTGGAAACGTTTGCCTGATCAGCAGTTCACTGGTGATGTCTATCAATATTTGAGGCACAGAGTCTAATTTCTACTCCAGTCTCAACATGTAGTAAAGGAAATAAAAATTACTTTACTACTTTGCAAAAACTATTTTTCAAAGCGCAAGTTTAATTTTGAATCGAAAGGGCAGCTGCACCAAATGTGCTGAACCATAAGTCGTCCTTTAGCATTTACATTTACTGTAAAGGAGCAGCAGTCACATACACTCCAGGTTATTTTACATTTCTGCATGAAGCAAACCTCCTAAATTATTCCCATTCAAAACTGCTTCATTACTAAACACCTCTCTTCTCTAAGCACAACTATTTTTCATAAACAGGCATGCAAACAGAATCCAGGGCAAACAGGTGTGTGGGGGGGAAGTACAGTACAGAGGAAAGGGAAGCATGACAGACTTAAAACTCTGACTGATGGAAGCCAAGTGTGTAATTTGCTCAGTGGTTTTTTTTTTTGCTTGTTAAAGAACTTGTATCAGAGTTCACATATGTTTCATTGATAATTAACATGGGAAAAAAATAATTATTAAATTAATGAAGAATTGCTCTGAGAAAAGTGCAAAGTTCTTAATATCACTTGAAAACCTACGATAAGATACTGTAGAGGGTTAGAATTACACATTTAAAGTTACATATTTCAGAAGCTAACTGCAAAAAAGAACAGTGGAAAGCATGGGAAAGATAACCAAGGCTGAGTAACCTTCATAGATCTCTTGTATTTGTTTTTGTTCTCTCAATCCATTACAGAAGATGACACCGAGAATGTGAGTCACACCATAAACAGATGCAGCGTAAAAACTACTCAAGAGAAACTTTGCTGTTAATGTACAGTGAAGAAGAAAAATGCAACTTTTATTTTCCCCCTTCTCTGAACAGGCTCCAGCAAGACACTTAACTCATTAGATAAACTGAAGAACCTATGAATTAGTCAGTTCCACACTCTGGAGGAAAAAGACAGTATGGGGGAAAAAAAAAACAACCATGATAGTTCTTCCATACTGTAATACTTGAGAGCTATTATAGACAACACTAAGTTAGATTTCACAGCACTTCTGTATAAGATGAAACAGTTGATCTGTTCCATAACAAATACATTTGCAGTATGACAGATTTTTAAACATATGTGAGCAACAGGAGGCTTACAACCACCTCATTTGTTTGAAAATAGTTTCTACAGGCTTCTACTAACAGACTAGCAAATAAAGTAGCAGCTGAGAACAACCTCACAGTAATACAACACAGCACACAGTAACAATTGTCTTTCCATTTCTTAACATTAGAAGCCTTGAACCTACCAAACCAGTATGCTAGGGAACCATGTTTCTAAAACACCAAGAATTTTGACTTGCCAACGCAGCAGATTCCCACTAATGATCAAAGAAGTGTTTTTTTTCAAACCATATCTTCCTGATATTACTTTCTTTATTAAGCCAAGCTAAATTCCAGCTTCTCAGAAATGGCAGTATTTCAAAGAAATTTGGTTTTTTCCTTCTATCTAGATTGTTGATGAACAACTCTCCCTTTAAATGCTCAGGTGTGAAAACAAGCATGGTATGACTGAAAATCCAAACACATACAAGCATTTCTAAAGTTTGGTGAAGTCGTAAAAATAACTTACACAGAAAAATCACTACCAAGAACATTGGAATGATTTCTGAAGCATTCCAGTGCTTCAGAATGCAGGGCAATTAGAAAGAAAACTTCCATTACATCTCTTATTTATATAAGTCATTACCTCATCTAAACTGAACACTTCACTTTTTTTTTTTTTTAAATAAGTAGTAACAAGTTACTCGCATTTCCTTGCTTTACGTATCTGTTCATCTAAAGACCTTCATGCACAGAGACAGGACCTCAGTTGTTTCTGTGCCACCTTCTCTCCTCTATGATAAAGACACAAAGCCATGCAGCACTGGCTGGCCTAGAACATCGGGTCCATGAAAATACTTTCGGAAATGCTACTACATGAAGCCGGCAGCATTTTTTTTCTCCACTACAGTTCATAGAGGCTGCCAAGAGAGAATCCTGACATCTTGACAACTATTCCCAAGTTGTGAGTTGTGTCACATCCTTGTTTGGGAAGCAGCAAGCATACAACGAACATCAGAACGTTTTGAACTACCATGGAAGGAGGACGAAACATAAGCAAGACCTCACTTGCAAAGGGCTCAGGAGACAAAAAAGTACTGAACTGACAAGAGGCATCTTGTAGCTAAGTTTGACTCTGTCAAGCTACTTTGATTCTCTTTTTTTTTGAGAAGAAAAAAAATATTTCTTTTTTTCTGCAGAAAAATAACTATAAAATCCTAATTTCTAACTTTTGCTACAGCATTTTTTACTTTGAGAATTTTCATTACTAGCACAAAAAGATTCAAAATTAAATTGCTCCTCCTGTTCTGAAGATGAATATTACGTAAGCTCCTCTCTCTTACAGGAGATGTAAATATTCATTGCTAACATTCATGTAAAAATAAGCTTCTCAGTGTAACTGGTATATGACAAGCACCACATGCCACAACAAACTACCACCCATAAAGTGATTTGCTAAAGTTATTTTGATTTCCTAAGAAACTGAGGATTGTCAGTCCATCTGCCTGTCTGCTCATCTGCCTTCCAACCATTTTTAGGTCCAAACCAAATGATATGCCGACAAAGATACCAAGGTATGGAGCTCCTACAAGTTTCATAATGATCAATGGCTGAGTAGATGTTCAAACTAATGCTTGCTCCAAGGAAGAGTTGTAATATAACCCTGACTGATTTTAAGGCTAGACAGCTTCTTGATTAATGAGCTCACTCCTGTGCACAGGCTGATAAGTTAACGTGATACAGAATACTTGACAAGTTACATTCTGCTATAATTATTTGGGGCTGAAAAGAGCATGATTGGTCATACCGTTTTTTCAAAAAGCATACACAGTGTCTCTATTGCAGAAATTTATTGCATGCTCTAAGGTTGAATGCAGATGTGGAGCGATTAAAAATTTAGTTCGGAGGATTCTACCAATGCAGGGAAGAGACTGAGTAGCACGAAAAAGACTAAACCTTCTGAGCGCTCTGAAGATAAAATAGTCACAGTAAGAATCCCTGGATCATTCAAAGCTGAGGAAGACTGGAGAGAGAGGAAGAAGAGGCATCTGTTACAGATTACCTCTTTTGTGCTTTCTAAGTTATGATTAGAACTGTAAGAATTGGCAGGAAATATTTCACAATAAAATTGAAAGATATGGTTAAAGAAATCAGACTTAAAACACAAACTCAATTAATATTTTCCTTTATTAGTGCTTATCGTGCCACGGAAACAGCCAAAGCTATATGTTTTCCCTAGAACAGTGGGGTGGAAAAAAAAAAATTCCTACCTTGGAGAACATTTATTTGCTTGTTAGATTCTTCAACTTGCACTCGATATGCTTTTCTCTCTTCTTCCAATAGCGCTATAAATGAAATTGAGAATGCAACCAAAAGTTTTTGTTATTAATATTTCAGCTGTGTAATTAATTTTCATCACAACTTCCTCTTAACTGAAAAGATTAAAACAATCATATAATTTCAGTAAGTTATTAAAGCTAGTAGCTGTGTAAGTAGTTTAATAAAGTGTTAATATTAAGACATCATTCCATTATTGTGGTAGTATTACAATTAATTTTAAATTAATATAATCTGTTGCCTGGTCCAAAAGTTCCACATGTGCTAAATGCAAACTGGTGTGGGAGGAGAAAAAAAGAAAAAAACAGCTGTAAATATACTCCATAAAGAAGACTGAGCAATACGCAATTAAACTGGACTATACTATTTTCTGTCAAAAACAAGTTTTGCTGAGGATGATAGTACAGCTATGTATCTGATAGGATGGCCTAAACAAAGAACTATCACATACATTATGTGTATTATCTGACTGAAACACAGATTAATCAGTATCTCTAGATGAATATATTTTATAAGGATGAAATATATGGAGTTCAATTATGTATTCAACACAGTGAAGAGATGTTGGTTTATCTTGAACCAAAAAGTCAGAGTTCAATCACATTGTATATAGAGTTTAGAAAAAAAGGAAAAGTTTCTGACATTCTGTGCAGCAGATGTGACTGCTATGAAAGAAATATATCTAACAGAGAGTCAGCAAAACTGGAATCCCTTTTAAGACTACCTGATAAAGTTTAATGGATACACTACACAACCGAGTTGATCTGGGTCTCACCTTGAAGTTCAAAACATTTTTGTTTACTTGTCCTAGCTAGCTCTTGGGCTTCAATCAGCTCCTTGTGCAGCTGCTGAATTTCTTGCTTAGCCTCAGTCTCTGATTGTGCACCCTGCAATTCATCTGATAAAAGAACAGTTTCTTTAAATCATAGATTTGTACAACAGTTTAATTTGCACCGTCATGTGATGACTGGTGACTTTTTATTCAAATCATCCAAAGTTAGTTAAAGTAAATGCAAAATCAGATTAGGTAAAAATTAGCAAAAATTATTAATATACTTTTATGCTCTTAAAAGGAGGAAAACATATGCAAACTTTAAAACATTCATTACATATAACATGCAGTATAAAACAAAAAAATAACAAACAATAATTAGAGAGTTTTTAAAACACTGTATAGATTGGCAAGAATTCCTGGATTGACAAAAACAAAGGAACAAGCATCAAACAGTCCTCAACTGTGTTCACAACTTGCCTGTTTTCAAAAGGAAGCTACTCTAGCCCTCTCCCCTAGCACACAGCCATCAGCAGTGATCCTGCATCCCCTCCCTCCCAAGCCCACCCTCCCGCAGCCCTGCCCCGACCAGCACGCACCAGCCCTGGCTGGCAGCACACGGACAGACCCAGCCTTGGGCCCAGCCAGCTGCACCGGGCTATGCAAACAGCTGCTATTCAATGGTTTGCTACTGCCAACTGGCTCGCTGCCATGCAAGGCTTGGCTCTGGCTCTGTGGACCATAACTAAAAAATTCAGGGAAATTTTCTAAAACAAAATTCAGAAAATGGAAAGTCCACTCTCCTTATTTCATTCAGTGGCCTAATGAATACTATGCTAAATTTTGCCCTTAAAATTATTTTCGCTATGTCTTAAAATATTAGGTATATCTTTAACACAATTAGATATCTATGCATGTTATTTAAAATCTAAATAAAAACATTGGCTCTTCTCCACGAGCTTTGTATTAACTAAAATGCATATTAAACACCTCTCAGGCTTATAAGATGACTTGCAGTCACAGACGAATTTAGTACTTTTAAAGCTGAAGTTTTGGGAGCATTTAAAAGAGGAAAAATAAGTATTTGTGACTAACAACAGTGTCCTCTAATGGGCACTCACTAGAAACTAGATGCAGTACACACTCAGCAACACCACTCCAGCCTGCAGGCATCTGCAGGGCCAGGAACTGGACCCAGGAAACTGTCATTCACTGAATTTTCCTTAAGTAGCATCTGTGAGGAAACAGATCTTTCAATAGACACAAACAGCACTAATAAACCGTAAAGGTAGAGGGCTAAAACTGTATATAAAGCTAGTTAGGCGAGAAAGGTAAGGGAGGGAAATCAGTGAAAAAAATCCAGCTGTACATCATGGGAGAGGGAAAATGAAATGGTAATGTGTTACAACAAGCATCTATGACTACAGACCACATGGATTTAAGAAGAGGGCACACTGCTTAGAATAAAAAGTCCAAAAGATAAGCTACTTTAGTCATCTGGACCTTTCACTAATAAGAAAAAAAAAACAGAAGCGACAGTTAAGTTTGTCATTATACTTTTGATGTTCATATTTGACTGTATATGTCACCATTAAAGTAACTATATAAACATTGTTGCTGTTTTCTTCATTAAAAAAATTGCATATTAAATCATGCCAAAGTATTCATACTGTATTCCTCTAAGAAAAGAGGCTGTGTCTTTCCTATTCTCACAGTAATGAATTGGTGAGATTGAGCCCAGCTGAGGGCCCACGTATGCTTTTAGACTTCTTCAGAACAAAATTATGAGAGCAGAAAGAACAAAGAGGACTATATATTTCATCCAAATATTTTCTTTTATAGTTTATTGAAGTTCCAAATCCAAGTTTCTCTTTACTGAACATGTTTTGTTCTTAGCTTCTCATGGATGAAGACACGGGGCAATTAGACTTTCAACCCTCCTTAATGAGACTGTTCAGAAGAAAAGGATGAGCAAATTGACAAATTATGCTCAAATGATGCCTGATAAAGAAGCAGTGTCCTAAATCCAACAATAGACACCCTAAATGAACTTTCTGCTGGACAGTATTTTCCAATCAGTGAAAGCACACATCATAAAAGGTAACACTGCTTCAAAGGAGATGAGGTATTCAACTTCTGGGACAACATAGCCAGTTTAGCAAAGGCACAATCAAGGTAAAAACTCTTTTCTACCCAAATGCAATAGGGGATTTTCCATATGCCTGACATGCTTCTAAATCAAGAGCTAAGAAACATAAGCACGAGACAATAACAGCTTTACAGTCTTATCCAAAATGAAAATTTCTTTCATGTCTTTTAGTTCAAAGCAAACATCATTTTTGTGCTAACTCTAGTTTTGAAAAAAAATCCTTAGCGAGTAGGATCTCTCTATTTATAAATAATTAAACTACTAAATATCATCAGGCTTAGCATTAGTTCCCTCAAGCAGCAAATTCACATCAGAAAAACCTGGTTTGAGAACCAATGTATAAGACTGAAATTAAAAAAAGTATTTGAGCAATTTCTAGAAGTATTCAGTATAGGACAAACTGTTCTCAGAGACGTCTATGGAATTCCATCATTAATTACAAGATGTCACAAAAAGAAAAAAGTCAAATACAACAGTTTGAAAACCCTGATTTATTAATTTATTCTAGCTCATGGAAAATTCTGACCTGTGATCAGACTGTTTGCCACATTACAAGAAAGGTGCTTAAATAACATCACTTTGTCCAAGCCCCCAGTGAGGTTTCCCTTAACATAAACTTTACTGGTAGATTTAAAATAGTTTAAAAAATTAGTGTGATCTGTACAAATCATTCCCAAAGCACATGAAAACTTCTTCTCCAATTTGACTCAAGAAAACTAGTCTAACCCATGGGTCAGTTTTGGGGGAAAAAATTGCAATTTTAGGATCTATAAATTAAAATTTCAATAAACCCAAAAGAAAACAAAGCTCAGATTAAATTAATATTTACAAACATGAAGATATTAACAGAGCTCTGCTTATATGTTTGCCTTTACACTTCTGTTTTGATAACATAGATGATCTGGAACCACCACACATCGGCTGTGGTCTTAATTGATCCCTTATCTGCATGTGCCTGGCCTGAGGCAGCAACTTCAGGAGCAGGCTGGTATTTCTCCCAAGTCTCACAGGAGTTCACTCTCAGAATTTTGCAGGATTTCTCAGGTTATTCAGATGACTGTTTTCAGAGTACTCAAGTGAAGTCACATAAACAGTTAAAAATGAGTTGTCTTCAGTTTCATAAGATCCACATAAGTAAACCATCATATATTTAAAAGAAAGTATATGGCTATTGCAACATAAAACAATGGTTTCCAAACTTATTGAATCAACAGACCATTGCTGGTTTTCAAAATTTCTTATGTACCACTATTCACCAAACCCTCAACTGAAAACACTTTTTATTAAGATTTCACGGATCAGTCTTGTAGATATTATGAAAATATAAGGAACTTGGTAAGCACAAGCTTACTAACCTTCCAATGACATTTATTGCTAATTTCCATTAACATTTACCTGTTTTTATCTTTACAGTAAGTAGTCACAACAGCCTGTCTAAATAGAAGCATCCAGTGAACTGTTACTAATGGCTAATAAAGTCATTTACCTCGCTGGAAAACAAAAAAGCAGTTCTACTAATCTGTGACAGCTTTTCCCCTTCCTCTCTTTGCCAGTTGCTGACTTGTAGAAAGTTCAAACAAATCCTGAACGCACTCAAAATTTACTGATGGAAAATACACTTGGAGGAAACCACAGCACTTAAACGTCTCATCATTTTCTTGTTCGCTTAATCTGTTTTCTAAACTCCAACAGTTAAACAAAAAGGAACACTGCCTCTTCCAGCAGCCGTTTCCGCATTCCAAACAGCTGCCAGATCAAAAATGTTCTCACCCTTCCTTAATTGCATGACTGCATAACAAATCCACTTGAAAGCCTTTCTGTGGCAAATCAGATCCTTTTTAGGGCAAAACCAGGCATACGAAGTAGCTCTCTGAAAAAACCTCAAACAAACCTGCGGGTTTACAGGCTCTTCATAAAAATTACGAGGGCAACTGATTCACTGTACAGAAATTTTTAAGTGGTTTTGTGAGAGCAAAATAGGAATGCCCATAAATAGCCTCAAGAGAAAAAGTTATTCCAATTATTTTAGTGAATTACAGTATGTATTTCAATAGCAATGCGGTCTATGTAAATAAGTATTTTTCTACTTATTCACTCAAAAGTTCAGTAATGGTTATAGTTTAAATCTTCAACTGGGTAAAGATAGATAAAGCAAATGAAAGCATCCACATCAGCAAAAGACTGCTTCCAGGTTACTACAGAAAACTTGATTTTAGTCCTTTCAGAGTTCAGTTAACCCTCCCCGCCAGTTTAATATATCCTGGACAGAGAAAGTATAACTACGCCTGACCCCTTCCGTGACATGAGATTGTTCTAATCCAGGAAGCAGCATGTTCACAACAGCCTTATCTGGGACTTGGGCTGTTAAACAAACCTTTCTGACAGAACTTAGGAAGACTTTGCTTGCATATAAGGAGAATTCAGGAATCGGTGGGTTTCAGCCTGAGGGGTCCATGGACTACTTTCAATGTGTCTGCAGAAGATAACTAAGAAATCCAGCCAATTAGAAGTAGTCTCAAGTTGGCTATCTTAAAACTGTAAGAATTAGAACTAAAAAAATTTGATGTGAGCTGGCTGAAATTGGTTTCTCTACCGTTCTGTTAGCACACAAAGGGTTGTTCCAGCTGTGAGTTCTGTGCATGTGACAATGCTGACAGGAAACAAACTCCTTCATATGGATCCGATTCTGGACTGAAAGTTTTGACAGTTAAAGAATATCATGCATTTCAACCAAAATTTTCTTTTTTCAAATGAAATTTGCTGCCAACCCCAAATTTATTACCAAAAACAAGTCTATCATAATCATTAAGAACAACATTACCAGATTCTACCTTCTAACCTAGAAAGTCACCGAATATACTTGTTATTGATCACAGACATCACAGCAAAACCCAAATGAACATGTTCATTATCTCAAATGCTCCTTTTTAAACTCTGTTGCTGAACTGATATCCACTGGAAAATATCACGCTCAATTTTAGTTTTACTGTTTGGAAACATATATAATACATGCAATTTTTTGAAATCCTTCTGTCATAAAATTAGAGAAGTGTAATCAATTACAGAAAAAAGAAGTGCTCTTTTACAAGTGTCCTAAATTTCATTATGGTTTCCTGTCTTTCTGAACCATGAAGAAATGTGAAATTCTTTTTACTTGTGATCCCAACATAAGCATAAGTTTAGAGATCTTAATAAACGTTTAATTGTACACAGAGCATAAAATTAACTTTCAGTATCCCACACGTAACAACTAATTCATATCCCACAAAATTTTTCAGCTCATGAACATGTAAATATTAGCTTGCTAATGAAGTTTTAAATACATGTCTTCAGTGGAAAGAGCAGTAAAAAAACTAATTGTATAGCTATGAAGCTCAAAGCTAAGGCTCAGCAATCATTCCGAATATAATTACAACAGGAAATTCAAATCTTGAGTGTGCTAACTACAAAAAGGTTTTAGATTTTGTTCTTAACCCATCAGGTGCAAACAGATGCACTTCTGACAGTGACAGAAACTATACAAGTAAAACTTGGCAATGCTTAAAACATGTCAGTGATGGAAGAATCCCTCCTCCCCACAGCTATTAGCCCCAACTTTAGTGTATGCTGAAACTATTTCTCAACTCTGCTTGAAGTTATAACATGTAAATTCCTAGAACAGTGTTGGTGAGTGCAGAAACTAGTTTTAAACACAAACTATTTCTATACTAACACTTCGTAGTATGCTTTTGGATCACATCACCCAAAGGAATCATTACTGATGTTTAAATGCAACTCTTCCATACTACCATGATTAAAACATTTCAGTTTCAGCACTCTACTTCAATCTATATTTGATAAAAAACACATAGACAAAAAGACACATATACAGATTATGTATCTATACATTATGCATTACAAAAAAACCCCAACTTGTTTACCTTTTAGAAGAGCTACTTTAGCAATAGGTTCATTCAGATCTTGTTCATCCATTTGGGCATCTAAAAAAAAAAAACCAAAACCCACACCTTTCAGAGAGCAGACAGAATGCAGACAGTTAGCATATATGCATTTTTTAAGCGAAGAGAAGCTTTTATGTTATTGTCACTTTATAACAGTTAATTATGAATTCATAAAATAGACAATACTGCTCCAAGTTTGCATCCAGCTCTGCATAATGCACACCTTCTCTGTTCTTTTAGAAAATGCTGGTGATTAAGTGATTTAATTCACACTAATTAGGTGTTACGGAAACCTCAGTCGAATGCTTACCTGTAGTGTCGTCGCTGCTTTTCTCCTTGCTTGGACTAAGAGTGTCCGACAAATCGGATTCTTTGACTCTTGCTTGATTCTCTGTAAAAGACACAGAAAATCAACTACAATCGGTAAATGCTTTGATCAGTCTCTTAATCATAATTTCTTCTATACATCTATTTATTTAACTACTGCTAAATGTCAACAGAAAACAACATAGCTGAAGAAACACTTAAAAATCTGGTCGTTGCTTATTTCTCTGGAAGTCTGGGCTAAAACGCATTCAGCATCACTGAAGTCGTTAATCTAGCCTAGCATCTAACAGGGGATGTAACTCCCTCATGCACAGCTTGAACTTTTGTTAAAGCTGTATTCTTGCCAGCTGGAACTCTGTGCAAAAGCTGATTCAATCAGGGAACAAATAAGAAAAGAAAACTAGAACAATGCAGACACTGTAACAATTTAGAAAGAAAATGCTGTTAATAAAAATGTGCTTCAGTATTTTTGACAAATACAATAATAGCAAGAAGTCTTGTATTTACCATACTGTTAGAAAAAATGTGGTTATGAACCGTAAAGAATCACAGCAATATAAATTAATACTTTAAATTTCTGGAAAGAATTTTCAGTTCAAATTGTATTAAGAGAAGGCAGTCTATGTCCTCTCCACCAAAAATTACCTTCATGAAATATCTGTTCATACACAACTCACCACGTTATTACATGCAGCTTAGTGAAGCCACGCAGCTGGTTTTGTGTGTGTGGTGTTTTTAAAAAATAAAAAACCAAAAAACACAACTCTAGAATTTTAACGGAGACCAGACATTTTTCAAAAGGTGAGGGGACAATTATACTAGTGCATGCTTTCTCCACACAGAAGTATCCCCGACTCAGTCTAAATACTAAAGGCTGTAAATTTTTTTTTTTTTTTTTTTTAAATAACCACTTCAGTTTAGTTCCAATGGGTCCGTTACAGAAAGGCACACCATCTTCAGTGTGGGCAAACCGAGCAAGTTTGTCAGCAAGGAACCCTGTCACCAACACGGAGGTGAGGTTATACACAATCAAGTCTTTCTTGGCTGACTATGCAGAGCCTTGGTTTGACAGCATCGCCGCCCCCTCACAGATTAATAGAGGTTTCCTCCGAGTCTAAAGTTCCAGGTGGAGAGATATATATAAAAAGGCATCATTACACCATTCCTAGTATACAGACTTCACTTCTACCATGTATGCAGAAAAGCATGGTGAACACAAAAAATTTCTTCACATATAGATCCTGCAGACGCAACAAAAAAGTACCAGGACACATGAAGAAACATGCACAGCAATAAATAAATCAAGTCTGTTATACCAATAGGGTTAGTATATGAAAATATGTAAAAAAATAAAGGAGTAATGAGAAAGTTTGCTGTTTTTTCAAGTAACAAGACAACAAACAGAACTAAACATCCCCAAAATGAAAGAAGTGGGAACTGAAGACAACCTGTGCACTTACACTGGGAAATTAGCAAGATGACAGAACACAGACAGGTCAACTGGGGAAAAAAAAACAAAAACCACCAACAAACACAAAACATGTTTTCTTCATCTAACATGAAAAGTTTTCTATTTCTCTGTGCCAGAATAACATCCACTTGCACATGAAACAGAAGGAGGCAAGTACAAACAAAGCAGCTGATCACGAGCCAGACTCTTCTGTCTTCACGTAACTGAAACTGCTGGAGAGGGAGAAGGGGAAAGCTCCTGTACACTTCAGGCACATTAGGGGTTCAGACCTGGCAGCTATTCCAAACATATTTCCTATGACTTCAGCAGACTTCAAAGCTCATAATGACTGGAGTAGTTAAAAACTTGAGGTTTGGGGGTGGTTCTTTGCTAAAACGAAAAAAGAGTACTTGCCTATTTTTAGGAATAAGATTTTTAACTATTATCTAAAGACATTACACTACAATGCATTTTACAAGTATCATATACAACCAAGCTCACAAGATTGCCATTAAAACTATAATAATTACTAACCCAAATAATACATTCTCTTTAAAGTATTAAGAAAAGTATATCCTAAAAGCCTCACCCATCTTGTTTGTACTAGCAGCCAATCCAGAAGTGCTAAACTGAGCACTATCTGTATCCAACTGACTTTACCATATCTGGGCATACATGGAAACACAGCTTTCTTGCTCTGTGCGAAACGGGAGGAACAGTGCAAGTTCCAACCGCTGCATTAATCCTCTCTCCCTGCACCCACCCTCGGATACAGCAGCTTTTTCCTCCCTCCTATCCTCCTCCCCCTGCAACACGGAACAAGATGAGGCGCTAGAGGAAAGATGCATCAGATTCTACAGCTGAAACAGCAGAAGGCAAAAAGAGAAATGGTTTAGAAACCTGCTTCCTATTCTGGAAGAAGAGTCATGAGCACAGCACTCTTTCCTGTACTATATTATTTCACAGCAGTTGTCCCTATTTCCCATAATAAAACTGAGCTGAATAAATATAGCCAAAATGATGAAGTATATTAAAATGTGTTGACACCATACTTGCTTGATGAGTTAGAATATATTAACAAACACTAAAAATAGCTCACCGCTTTGCAAGATAACTGGCACGCAAGTGTTATGTTACAGTTATTGTATGCATTCTTTTGCCAAATATGGCATGTTGTCTATAGCTTACTTGCGTACAGAAACAAATTAAAGGTGCAATTTCATACATTAAGGCAAGAGAAGATAAATTGAAAAGTCTCCAAAATATCAGAACTTCTAACAAGCTAACATTTATTCAATACACTTCGCGGAAGGACAGAGGGTAAAGAAATGAGTTAGTATGTCTAGCCATTAACAAAAAGCTACAAAAGTGGAGTCAGCCTACAAGTCCAAACAATCCTATGTTATGAGACAGATAGGAAATCTTGATCTACACACTTTGTAGCACTCTTGGCTTTGGCATTGCAAGACAAGGATGACTGTTCCTCGACACGATACATCTTTTCTAATTAGCTCCTTGTATTTTACTTGTTTTATACAGAAAAGAGTTAGAAATGCACATTTATATTTTACTTAGAAAAGGCACATGTAGGAGGTTAACAGCTATTTTAAAGTTATGAGGGTATAAGTTAGAAAAAAGTGAACTTAAAATACACTTTTATTTAAAACTTCAAATGGAAAAACATTATTTCTGTTTTGTCCTGTAATAAAAACTGTTTGAAATGTCTGCAGGCACTAAAGATTTAAATCATTTTACAAAACTTACTGTAGTTTTTAAAATGCACATTCAGGTAAGAACTCAGTCAAAACCGAGTCTAGCATTTCATGCACTCAATCTTCAAAAATTGTTTCCTTTAAATCTTTTTACCCTGCAATACTATTTGGAGCAGAGTTCAGTAAATTGCATATCTCCCCTTGACTGATGTTTTTTTCCTAAGCGAGTATTCAACAAAACTCAAACTGCTAGTTTAAGACAGAACATGCACTGAAGTAACATAAAAACATGCTTCAAAAACAGTTAAATAATCCAGAAGTCTAACCTTTCAAAAGCTTTGTTTCTTCCACTTTGGTTAGATGTCCTTCATCTATGATCTTGTCTGCCAAACAAAATAAGTGTTACTTTCCAAGCTCAAATTAAGCAAGCTTTTCCCTGCACATATCTACGCAGGCTACATTCCATGACCAAATTAAAAGCTGATAATATTACTTCCTATTCAGGCTTGAACAAAAACTTTATTCTGGCATGGAATAATGAAACAGAGCACACAAGCCTACTGGAACTTTGTGATAAAGTGCATAATTATTTCTTCTGCAATTTAACAGTTTAGATTATCAATGCTTCAGTTCACTAATCAGAAGTTAGGAAAATTAATTTTTATGAACTTTAAAAAAAAATATGTCTGGGAGCAATAATTGATACATTTCTCAAGTTCTAGTTATCAAAAAAGGAATTCTAAGAGGTGGTTGCCTGAAGTAGATATCCAGCAGACACAGAAGAAATCTAGAAACGCGACACAGCAAAACAGCAACTGAGAAGCCACCTCCACATCACAACTGCTTTAACAGTGCCTATGAAAGCTACCCAGAAAGAGCCTTTCTTAGCTTAAAAATATCAGAGAGCTGCACAAACTTCCACAAAGTCGTGCATGCATCACATTCAGGTTCACAAAAACTGAATTTACATATAGCATTGACAGGGAAGTCTGTTCATGTATGTCAGGTGCATAAAAACATAAAACACCAAATTTGAGATTAAATTGCTAACTTCATCCTAACTCCAGCTAGGACATGAAGGCAAACAGTCAGACCAAAGGAAGAAAAGGTTTGGATTAATCAAAGACACTAAAAGAACTATTGAACCAGTAATTACTTTCTTTTCTGGAGGAGATTTCATTATTTCAAATTCCTTAACAATCAAGCCAGCTATGCCAACATGAAAAATTATCAATCTGTGCTCCGCTGCCAGGTCCCTGACCATCAGACAGGGAACCCTGGTTGCTGGGTACCCCATGTGCTCTTAACAGGGAATGGAGACCCAGAGAAGACTGGATGAACAGCGCATACAGGAGAGTTCAGATTAAGGAAGCTGGATGACAGTAATGTTTTCAAATTTTTAATTTAAAAATAAAAAAAAAATTAAAAATTTAAAAATAAAAAAACACCAAGCAAGCTTTAGTCAGCATTTCCAGCTCCAAGTAGCCCTGAAGATTAAAAAGTCTCTGTACTCCTCTGATGGCATGCTGCTGTAACCATGACAATCTAAGGGCAGATGCAGGACATATGCACAGACATATCTTTTTCAATCCCATATAGTAGACAGTCCTTCAGACAAAAAAACCCTGAGGTCTGAAGAAGGGCTGACATGGCCAAAAGCTTGTTCTGTCCCCTTCCCACCCCCACAGCCAGACAAACCAGTCTAACAGAGATATTCCCTCCATCTACTTTTATCTACAAATATTGTCCTGTATTCCTATAAGATTTTACAAATACTGCTTCAGAAATACACTGAACAGCACACTGGATTTTCAGGGTTGGCTTCAGGTCTCAAGCAATTGTAGTAGATCACTCATCATCCAAATTCAGAACAGTCTCGAGTTCGTCAGAGCTGGAGCGAGTCTTGAGGAAGGCGCCACAGGGGGAATCAAGTTACTGCAGCCACAAGTGAAGAGTTACTGAGCGATATCACGAGCCCTCGTCCATTAAAAAAAAAAAAAATGTAAACAAAAGTCTCCATATGTGATTATTCCAGGACCCCACTGAGGCTGGAAGAGGGGTGAGGAGGAAGGCAGCAAGAAAGTAGCTTAGGAATTCTGCTCATACATCTCAAAAGATTAGCTGAATGCAAAAACCATACACTCAAAGTAGCTGTCAGCTGCTTCATCTGAAGGGGTAACACCTCATCGACGCTGGACTGCTAGCTTAATATAGGCTTCCATAATCAGTTTACGGAAGAAAACTTAGCATTATGAATTGATGGATCTTGGAGTTTTCATAATTCAGTAACTGTTAAAACCAGAATAATTGTAGTGCAACACAAAGAAACTAGTCTTCTTGACCCAGACGGTTTTCCAAACTGAAACCTTCGTGGCAGTTCCTTACACTTTTAAGACTTCTCAATTCATATGACTAAAAAAAAATCCTGCAGAGTTGATTTTTTTTTTCTTTTGAATGGTGGCTTACTGTCATCTAATGTCCATTCTGAATTTCAACATTTGTACAGAAGTTTTATTCTTGACGCTATTTCTTCAGCAAAGAACTTCAGCAGCAACACACCAGTCCCCTTATCCGGTGTGATCCCCAAAGCTGGTACAGCCAGTATTTTTCACTTGATGGCCGACATCTCTCCTAACTTACAAAACAAGCAAGCACTCTCTGTGTTTTAAGAATGCTAGCATTAGTGTATTTCAAAGCCAACAAAAAATAGTTTATTTCAGCATGCCTGTATATATTTAGATAATAAACAGAAATAAAGAGAAAACTGGATGTTGATGTCATTGAACTACATAGAATCTTCTTCTGCACTCCGTTACCACCCTAGTCACTAAAAATGGCAGAATCCAGACAATCAGAAAGTAAAAGCAGATCTGCCTGTATCTTTAAAACTTCCCTTTTCCAGATCTCTGTATATTTTCATATTACTATTTCAGAAAACTTCACAAACTTTTTTTTTCTTTTAACAATCCACATTTTCCCTGAATCAACATGCGCATTTTTGGCTATCAAAATATAAACTTGGGTGAGGATCCTACCTTTAATATCTGGCACAAATAGTTTTTATCTTTCATACTATCCAGTCGCTACTTAACAGAAAGCAAAGAGTTCCTGATACAAATCATAAATAATATTTTTTACTGAAACAATCCACCCTGAAGTTAAGCTTTCAGTTCATCTTTAAGACAGTCTGTGCTTCTCTTTGCTGATCAATGCAGTTCAAAGGCAGCTTTCCTTTAGGGCTTTAGGCATTTCCTATCTTTCCATTTTAAGAATGCTCCTTTAGATTTAGGTTGCCTATCACTATGTGTAATACAATAGTTAAGTAATCATTATAATGTTAACAGATCTTAAGTAACATGCCCCCTATACATTTACAATTTCGCATCACATTAGTCTTTGAAGGAGGCCAGTTTTGAAGCCCATTGAAAGGAAATCTGGCCCTCAACACACAAATTTCAAACCACCTGAAAAAAATGATACTAAGCAGCTTTAACTTTACTTGCCACTTGGAGGTCAGAAATCAATGGAAAAATTGAAATTAGCTACTCAATCCATCCAAAACCTACTCCATTTTAGATAGATAAATTTTAAAAAAAACAACAAAAACTTAGTAAAAAAAAAATTGACCTGCATTTAAAAATCGTAATTGTAAAAATCACAAAATGAGGAAAAAATAGGGACACAAAGAAGAGTTATATTGGAGTGAAAGACAGGAAGCTAACAGGGCACCAAATCTCTCTTTCATCTGTACATCATCACCTTTTTTGGTAATAACTCATGTCATGTACTAATCAAAAAGAAGCACCATGACTTTTGCTGTTGATGTCACTGGTTTTCACCAGTGGTTACTAAAACAAAGTTATGAAATGAGCAACAAGTGAACTGGATGTAATGATCAGAAAGTAACAGACTTCCCAGATCATTCAGAGCAAGATTTTGTAACATTCTGCAATGTTGTAGATCAGGACAGGTTACTGGATGATATCGAGAGCCCCATTCTGCTTAAAAAACACAAATAAACAAAAAAGTATTTTTAAAAACCTACAGAATCTGGATTTTACAAACAATGCTACCCAAGCTAAGCAGTTGCAATGCAGCTTGAATAACATTTTAGTGTCCTGTTGTTTCTCCCCCACCAAAAAATTTCTAGCTTCAGTACCCTGAGAGGTCTTGATTGCTTTTAACAGGTGAACGCTTTCAATTGCCTTATATCTCTGCAGCAACTGTTAGCACAGAATATTAGACTTGTTTAATCATCTAATTTTTCTCTTTGTGCTATCTTACATACTCCACTTCCTTGACTCAAGCTGTTTTTTTCTCTGCTTGTGCTTTCCAAGTTTAAGTGCTTCTCCCCCAGAACTATGGAGATGTGTACTTTCCCCACTGTGCCAGCACAAGCCAGAACCTTCTCCTCTAGACAAACTGCATGGTTGTCTCAATTCTCCTTTTTCTTCTCTTACAGTTTGCAGATCCTATAGTTTTAACTCCTCTGCTTCTATTACAAAACAGCAAACCCTATAGTAACACAACTTCTATGAGCGACTCCTATTTCTGGGATTTTTATCGTATTACTCGTTTTTAAATAATAAACCTGCTCCTTTACCAATACCTAACACTCTGGGCAAAAAAAAGGCATAGTATCATATGATGAACTATATATTCTTTCTCAAGACTGCAAATCTTTCTGATTTTGTTCTTCACTTAAGTATTTGCTGCATGTCTTAAAACTCCAGTGTCTGGTGATCTCTGAAACTATAATTTTTTTTCTCCTCACTAGTTCCCAACACTCACTGCTGCAGAGAGCAAAGAGCAGGAGTAGGACTGAAGGGTAGCGCTTACATACAAAATGAAAATAACAGATCCAACAGTTTGCAGGTTTTTAACCTCATGATTTTGTGGGGCCTGACTAAACATATTTGAATTTGGGAAAGGCAAACTTCTAGTCCAGAGATAAATACACAAGCTGCTGACTTGGGAACTTTTTTGTTCTTGATTAGATAGTAAAACTTTATACTGTCATAAAAAATGCAGAATACTGAACCCTTTGAACTCGTATTCGTTCTTTTAAAAATGAAGCAATCGAGGCCTTACAATATCTTTAATCTAGCTGTCAATCTCTCAGGAAAGGAAAGGCATCAGTAAATCAGTCTTTAGAATCTTCTACTAAATCCTGACGGTTGCTTTTGCTTCTCAACAGTAACTAGACTGGTCACATTGAGTTTGTAGAGTTGATACTAATACAACTTTTGCTAAAATAGGCTAAGCCAACATCCAAACAACGAAAACCAGCAACCAATTTGTATTTGAACAACACTCAGTGTGCTCTTCATTTTCACTCCAGACAAAAAAATATTTTTACTCAAAGATTTAACTTAAGCTCATTTTTATGTACTGAATAAAGAGGATTCATACAAGATCTTTGCAAAATATAAAATTATTTTAAACTTCAGCCTGACAGAAGACCGCTACCAGTCATTCACTTTTAAGAATAAACATTTTTCAAATAAAATTTAGGTTTTTCTTAGACAAACATTAGCAGCTTCCTGTCACTCAGTTTATAGTAGCGCAGCCCATAAAACAAGGAGTAAAGTCAAACAAGTCTGTTACACTTCCTTATTGACATTTAAAATGGAAGAGTCCAATGAGCATAGTGTCAAAAAAACATACTGTCTTATTTCTGCATATAAATACTTCTCTCTGCTCGATTTCAGGTACATAATTTCTGTAAACTCTTCAGTAAAAAAAATAATTCTTTATGCTACAAAGGATTTTTCTTTGACACTTAATAGCACTTGTCTCTCTTCATCCTAATGATATTTTTCTCTCGGTTTACAAAAAGTATTAACATCTTAAGTTTTTCCTTAGTTATCGATACGTAGGCTGTGCTGTTTTATTACTCATTTTCAAAAGCCATTTGCTTTGAAAAACATGTTTCTCTTTCCAGAATAACACATCTTCCTAAAGACTGGTATTGCATATTTATATTCTGTTTTTCTTTAAAGAATCTCTTGGGTTTGCACTTAAAAGTTAAGGTATTGTTTTCCTTTTTGTTCTTTGCAACAACTAATTTGAAGAATGTGCAAGACTTTTAATTACCAGATAAATTACAGACATGTGAAGTGAAGAAAAGGCATCATTACCTTATCTCTGTCCTACTGCTGCCTGTGATGTTTGCTTAAACTGAGCGTTAGGCGTTCAACTTCTTACATGTGAAAAATTATACTCAGTTTTAAACATCACGTGGCAACATTACCACCCTTTTATTGGTCAGAGGACAATAATGGATTAACTGCTAAGAAGAGACAATGTGATCATCACTTTGCAAGAGCAAAGATATCTCTTACTACTACAGGCATCTGCTTAACATCACAATGCCATAGTTCTATGCTTTGAAAATATCTGATACTACAAAAATATTAAATAGTAGTGACAAATTGTTTTTTATCCACCTTTTCTGGGTTTTCTGTTGGTTTTAAAGTAAATGTGATGAACACTCTTGTACTCACTCTGACATTTTATGAACTGATGAATAAAAGTGCAGTCCCCTCCACTCTTTGAAAGAAAGTGCTCTAGTAAAGAAAGAAACACTTTAAGTTTACATCTTCTTATCATGTTCAAATTGATGCAACAAAAAAAATTTGAAAGGTATATTAACAATATTTGTAATTGTGTATTTACAGTGAACTTTTGAAATCTGAGTTAATATACAAGCAGACAAGACATGTAATTGAAATGATGCCCGAGTGATATTAGGAAATAGATTACTCTTTTGAACTGATCAGAAGAATTAATTACTTTAACTGCATTTTCAAAAGGTACTTCTAGATACTAAAACCCAATAGCAGTTCTTCAGCATAATGAAAAGCCCCTTACATCAATAGAAGCTATTTAAAGGAAAAAACCCAACACTTTATTTAACAAAATTTAGTAAGACCCAATTATTATAAGTCCAGACATCCTGCATTTGGCATTTGCTGTATTGCTCTTTCAGGTTAGGTGGTGACAAGTGACTTCCACTAAATTTCCACTGGCAGCTTCACAATTGTGGCAAAAAGATTAAAGCAACATAAGTGATATTTAAATTACAATAAACTTAGAATACACTACAGAAACACGCAACTCCCTAGCACTGATGTCTCTTTTTCCTCCCATTTGTTAATTCATAATCAGACATGGGGAACGGCATATACCAAATCCAAGCACTGAAGAAATAGGAAACATGTATTTAACCTATATTCTTTAGCATTTTATTAGCTTTAAAAGGGTACTTGGTAAGTTTATCTTTAGTCTTCATGTTTATTCTTCATATCTAATACCCTCTTGAAACACACACACGTTTATTTTGAAAGTGTTGCTGCATATCTCCCTTCAATTTTTAACTAAAGTTTCACTGCACTGAAACAACAATTTTTGAAAGGACAGCTCTACAGCAGACACCCCAAAACCGGCTCAGTTTCCAGGTTTAACCAAGTCCTTCTATGTGACCTTGTTCAGCTCCCAACTCCATCAGAACCTTGCATCTTCAAGTACAAAAGTGCTAACACTTCCTCTCCGAAGAACCTCAAAAATCCTTTGACCTCAAGAGTCCAACAATCTGAAAAGGCTGCCTTTTAGTACACAAAACAGCAAAATGTGTTACATTCTAACAAAATTGCTTAATCATTAGTTTCTGGTATCAGAAGCTTAGCTGTTAAAATCAAATACGTAATACTAAGCTTTACTATATTCCAAAGTTACTCTAAAAAGTGAACTTTTTTCTAATCCACAAGGACAGGGCTTTTAAAAGACAGCAACATGGCTATGGCTTTTATTATCTGTATTTAAACTATTTTTTTTTAACCTTTTTACATGATCCTCTAAGTGACTGTTACAAATTTCTCATACCTATCTCTATAAAGCTCACAAAATTTAAATATGAAAGCCAGGCATGATGCAACTCACCGAGAAACAAGACCACTTGCCAAAACAACTCAGTTCTACCCAACCTTTATTAGGGGCTTGATGTCTAAGCAAGTTACTCTCTTCTGATCCAGAACTCTTGTACACACAATGAGAGAAAATGAATGCCTAACCATCATCATCTTAATACACTTTGTTATAAAAAGACTCTAGAGAGACTACAACATGAGTGCTTAGTTCCTCAGTTTAAGTACAGCTCTTAATGTTACAGACAGCCACAGAAAAAAGTGATGCAAAATTCATACTCCTGCAACAGCTTAGTCTGCCTATAAACATACCTTGATGACTTGACCTGAAGTTTTGAGAGAGACAAAAGGAATCTTGAAAAGCATACTGATTTTACATGGTTTTACCACCATTTTCCTCTGACGGCAGCTGGGGACGTATGTATACCTTCGTATACAGATAGAGATTTTTAAAAATTCCCTCACAGGCATGAAAACCAGAATTTTGAATTTCTGATTTCTACCTTGAACTGTGAAGTTTTTCCCTTACACAAAATACCTATAACCTCTTTCACTGCCAAAATTGCTGAATCTACGTTATAACCCCTAAATTCTTAGTTCTTCTAAAATAATGCAAGACTTCTCCGCAAGAGAAAACAGTGACTGCCTCCTGCTGCTTTCAAGAGAAAACAAAATTCAAAACCTGGCAGAGAAAATTACTGCCCATCTGTCGTTATATGAGAGCTAGATAAAGGACAGGAAGATACAGAAAGGCACAGACTGGTATGAAGAGAACAGAGGCCAGCAATCTCTAAAACCAGAGAAATGTGGATGGACCAGGTACAGCAGAGATGCAGAAGAATGTGGTACAACAGACAGAACAATGCAAAACATCGAAAATTATGCTAAAATACAGAATAATAAAATAGCAAGGCAGATGTATGACAGAAAGGTGACAGACTGTATAAACACACAGAAATATAACTTGAATGAGCAGTTATGTTGTCCATATTAATTAAAAAAAGAAATTGGCAGACAGCTTGCTAAAACTCCCAGATTTAAGCATAAATTCTACTGTTACTCATAGGATAGAAGAATCAGTATTTTCATGCATCCATCCAAGACAATATTTTGACTCTTACGTAATCCAAAATAAGTCAAAAAGGGATTGCTTGTTCAACTTTGATAAACAAATATCAGTGATACAATATTTGTTACAATCACATAATCGTTAATTCAAATTTGAAATAATATCTCAGACAATTTTTAAACTCAGACTGAGAGGCAGAATTATTTAAAAAATTAACATGACATTTCTGACAATTTTAAACAAACAAAAAACTGTTTGTTAAAAAAATCATATTTAGTGTGATGTTATCAATTTCTCTAAAACAATATGTATTTGCACTCAAAGCTTGAAAGCTTTTGCTAAATGTTTCAATTCAGCTTTGGCTACTGTTGTTTACAGTACTGCATGTTTTTCTAACAACCTCCAACAACCTGACTTTCAAAGTCTTTTTACAGTTTACGTGATTAGAATGAAAAAAAATCACAATCCCTATATAGTACCTCAGGTTTGCTTTGTAAAGGAGTTCACTATTTTCTGGAGTGGAAGATTTAAAAACATTGAAAGTAAATTTATTTCTTAACCATTCTATCAAGCACTAAGAGTATTATGAACCTAGTATTATCTATCAGTAAGATGGATCAATCTATCTAAAAACAAAGTATGGCAGTCCAGAGAACTGGGAACAGACTTTAAGTCTCCTGATTGCTAATTTCAGTGTGTATCGTAGCCTAAAATGCTAGGACATTAAGGGATAACTAGTACTTAGATTAAGGGGAGGTTTTTGTACAGTTTCTGTCAGTGTTTAACAGATCTCTCCTCCTGGTTCAAATAAGAAATAGACACGATGCTATGCCATGATTAACTTCTTTTAGTTTGCTATTAGTCTCCCTAGTTAAGCAGCTCTTCATTTATAATACAAAAAGAAAGCAAAAAGCTAATAATTAGAGCAGAGAGTTTTAAAATTTCATTTAAAAAATGTATACAGGAATCGTTAAACACAGTGAATGCTAGTTAAAAATATGAGTTCTCTACAAAAGTGCCCCATCCTTCCAACTCATACCACCACCATTCCTCAGAGCTTTCACACTCTAGCAAGACACAGCAAATGCTGAACAAAGCTACATCAAGGAAAAATTTTAAATTACCACACAAGGACAAATATATCTTAATCAATGGAACAATTTAGTGAACTTAAAATTATAACCAGAATAATCTTTGCTATACGTGACATAGGGCATAGTCTTATTAGGCAACTTTATTAAAAAAAATTCAAGTGTATGTTAAGACATATTAGTTAAAATACTTGGCTTTAATTAACTGGTCTTTAAAAAAAAATCCATCAGTTCAATCTGTATTCATTCTTGTTTTACATAAAGACACTCCTGAGTTTTAAAAAGTTAGTTTCCACTATTTGTATATTTCATATACTCACATTTTTCATAGGTTACAGTTAGAAAAAACTGTTTTGCTGACTTTACTTACCACGCTCAATTTACTAGAAAAACAATTTATGTCTGTCTTGCAAGGGAAAATGAAAGTAAAACAAAAAAGTCAATGAGTTTTCCACTTTGTGTCACAAGCCTGACATCATTCAGTAGACTCCTACTGATTCCATTGAGACCCCAAAACCAAGCCAGAAAAAAAAAAAAAAAAAAAAAAAACGACCTCCTAGCTGGCTTTTTAAGTTTTAGTCTAAGAGAATATTATTCAAAGCAAAACTTTAGCGAACATTTTGAATTTGTTCAACTTCAAACATCAACCATACGACAAAAGGTAGCCTTAAGATACACTACCTTTCTCTGTGCTCCCATTAATTTTAGGTATGAAGTCATCAACTTGTATGCCTAGGATTAAGAAAGGGTATTATTTCTGGAACCAAGTAAAATGTTTTGGGTTTTGTTTCTTTATAAATACAGCCCTGTGAAATGCATCTGGCTTTTCATACTACCTCCTCCTCCTAAGTCCTTCATCTCATCAAACAAAACAGGTAAAATTTAATGTATTTTCCTGCATTACAGATCATGTTCTTGTTTGTTCAAAAGTATAAGAGGTTACTATCATCCAAAGAACTACCGTCTATTACATACGGGGGTTTTTTTAAATTCCATATATAGGGAGATATATGTATAAAAACCTTCAAAATCTTGGAGCTGAGGGTGCAGCAAACAGAGCTGTGAACAGAGCGATGACCCCGCAGCCAAACGCTCGCAACAGCAGTGCCCTCTGCTGGCATTCTGCTGTGGCCACATGAACCAGGGATACCAGCAAGAATGCACGACTGGGCTAACTGTGGAACTTTTTTTTTTTTTTTTGCCAGACAGCTAGACTGCAAGACTTTTTATAATAAAAGTAATTGAACAGAAAATTTGGAAATCGGCTTGAAACAAGAAACTGATCGCACCTACCTAAGCTGTTGTGTTCTTTAAGAGTTTTCTCTTGAAGATGTTCTAACCGTACTGTAAACAGAAGTCCAAGAAAAAGATATTTCACAGATTAAAAGAAAAACAAATAATCAAGATTTCTTCCCCACTAGTGACTAACCTTGTAAAGCAGTTAGCCGCTCATTGGTGAAGTCATTATCAGCCTGCAAAGCTTCTATTTTTGCCTGAAGCTCTTGCTCTCTCTCTTCCATTTCATCTATTTTATGCTGCAATTCTTTTTTCTCAGCCAGTCCTTTCTGTTGGATTTCTTCTTGCCTTCCTTCTGCTACCTGTTCAGAAAAGATTTTTAAAATCCCTGAACAAACAAAAATTAACACGCGAAGGAACAGATTTCCTTAATTTTTGTGTAACTAAACGTACATAAATAACTTTCTTTGCTGGTCAGATAAAGAAAATGCAAATAATGTCAAAATTTTTCTGCTGTTATTTTTCTATAAATTTCACTTCAAGCACAATAATATAGAGAAAGAATCTCAAAATATCTTAACTAACTTTTTGTCTGAAGAACAGGTTGTACAGGAACAGTACCAGGGCCCAAGAACTAAGAAACACCCAAGCCTCCCAGCACCTCAAATCATAACAAAACCCCCGAGTCCTTCTGAACTGAATGTACATTGCACAGACCAACTTGATTGAAAGCCACATCTTTTTCCTTGCTGGATTTCATAATAAGTTCCAAGATTCCCCTCCCTCAAAGTTAGGTAGTAAGTTTCAACTTTGATCCTTCTGTGTGTACTCATCACCATCAGTGATTATCTTGTAACTGGGAAACCAATTGCCTTAAGACCAGAAATTTAACATTTAATTCAGAAAGAAAAATCTTCTGTCTGAGGTGCTGAACTAGGACTGAAAGAACCTAAGTTCAAATTCTAGTACTTATCCAAGACATGCAACAACTGTCTCAGATCTACAACGAGAACACTACTACCTTCCTCCTCCACATTTTCTACCTTTCTAGATTGGAGACTCATTGGGGAAAGGTTTTATCATATTGTGATTATTTTGTTCTCCAGCATAAAGGATCTTTAAATATTAATATACTTAGGCATTTAGTTTAGTAACAAACCTGATAGCATGCTCCTCCCCCCTGGAAGCTGAGCCATATTACTACTATGTGGTAGGCTAGTAATGTTTAGTAACTCCACAAAGAGGCAAAATGAAATACAAATTTATTTCTAATTCTAGTTTTTACTCCCACTAACTGTAAGATGTTTAGGTTGAAAGTTATTTGTCTATACAAAAGCAGCTGAATATAAAGTTTTATACCATATGTAGTTTTACATTAAAATATAATGCAGCTCCAAAAATACGGTAACTTCCAAAATAAACAAAAAGGGAAACTTTTCAGCAATTTACTTAACTGATGACACTTTAAGGTACATTAAATGTAAATCAAAGCAATATGTAAAAAGATGATGTACATCTTTATTTCATTTACTTGTTGTTTAAAAAGTTTCTTAACTTTTATTCAATTGCTACATTAGTAATTAAATTGTATTTATTTTTTCCAGGCCTTATAGTATCATCATAAATCAGATGAAGTTCTGTCATTACCTTTAATTTGTCAGAAAGATCTTTAATTTCGTTTACAGCTCCATTGTACTTATTAGCTAGTTCTCTTAATTCTTCCTGAGTCCGCTCATTCATTTCTTTCAGGTGAGTACATTCGTCTTCTGTATTGCTTAAACTCCGCTGTAAAATACAATTAATTGCAATAAATAAAAAAAGAGACTAATAATCTGTTGATCTGTTTTTTTTCCAAACACTACATGTAACCAATGATATTTTTTCCAAACACTACATGTAACCAATGATATTTAACTACTTTGTTCCTAATCATTAAGGCTGATCAAACAGATAAAGTCTGGGCAAAAATGCTATCTATACAAACATTTCTAAGGTTCTATATGTGACAAGGTATTATCTTCATGCATGTGTAACAACACCCCAAACCAAAAAACCCACAGGTTATACAATTAATTGTGACTGATAGGAATAACAAATTGAAACATATAATCCGTCTCCCCCATTCTCTTCTGTTTTATGATAAACTGTGAAAGTTCTATAATACTTTGTGATTCAATGTAATCAATAGATATCATCATACCATTCACCCAGCAAAAGAAGACTTAACACATTATATAAGCCAAATGGCTCCAAGAAAGTGTTCTAAATCTTTTTCTGAACTCCGTAACATGGAAAGGCACCTAAACCAAGACCTTCTTACTCAAGAGGCAGCTGGGTCTTCAAAGGCAAGGAATGCTCCAGAAGTTTGCACAACTAAAGCAACACAACTAAATGGTGTATAGAGCTTCCTCCTCATAGCTCAAGATTTGTTTCTCTGCATTTTGAATTTTTTTTTTTTTGTAACAAACTCTTACTTAGTTTTCTTTCACCACCAAAACACCTTTAAACAGAAGTGCATTCAAAATGACATTATATAATAATGATTAAAGAACAACATTCAACCAGCAGTAGCCAATGATTCTTCTGTATATAAAGTATGTGGCAGGAAGCACTCAAGCAAATCTCTTGCTAAAGTTAAATTAATCCTTCTCCCCCAAGAGTCAAAGTAGAGATGAAAAAGCGTAAGTCATAAGATTCTTCTCTTAGCATAGGATTGGAAAGGAGGAGAAAGCTAGAAGTACACATAAAACTCCAACCATTAACAAACCTGTTGGCAACTGTTACAATATAAAAAGATGTTTTCAAGTGAAATCTCGTAAAGTTATTTATTGCAGCACTGGATGCACTGCATTCTCTAAAAAGCATGAAAAGGGCAGACACTTTGCGCACACAAAATTAAGCCTTACTTGACCTAAGGGAACACAGCATATAATTATAATGGAAAGATAAAATAAAGGAAAAGATAACAATGAGAGATATTACAGGGGCAGAAATTTTATTTTAAGAAAGTGTCCAACGCTTTGTAATCTTAAAAGCTTATTCTTAAGTGTAATTTCTATGAGAGGTTAAACTTGCATTTCCATATATTTTACAGTTTAAACAAGGTCTAACAGGATTTTTTCTAATGCACGTATGTAATTTCCCCCTCACTTATTTCCCACACATACTAATTTCTGTAAGACAGCTTCATGAATTTTGATGTCTGGCAGATAAAGAAGCAGGAGTTTAAAGAATAGTTTTTCATTAACTGTTTAACAATCTATGTATTATCAAACAGGAGAAATCAACACTACTACTAAATGTACTGCAAGTACCACAATACAACAAATACTGGCACATTACAGGCAACAAAACAGGGATCTAAGTAGCAGCAGTAATAACTCTTTCAGCATTTGCAGAAGACTAGGCATGAAAATTCAATACCTCCACTTCAGACAGTTTTCTGACCACTTCGATTTTCTCCTGAAGGACCCGCCTCAGGGACTCTTTGGCTGTTGTCTCATAGTTGTGTTTGTCTTCTTGTAATGCTATAAGCTCTTTTCGTATACTGTCTTCTGTTTGGTTCTGTACACATAAGATAATTCACATACAAAGATAGATTATAAATTTGTATTTTGCTGATTAAATATATTCGCTTGTGATAAGACCTGTTCTATTCCAAAATGTTTAGCAATTTCTGGTAGATGGGAAAATGTTATGGAAAAATCAGTGATCAAAGATGCTTGACATGACTGGGTATAAACCAGTTCTTTTTTAAAGTGTATCTACAGCAGCACACATTCAATGCTCAGCTTTGATTATACGAACATTATGGGTTTTTTCCGGACACTGCTAGGACAACGTCAAGCCTAGGAGACCTACAGTTTGACAAACAAGAAACCTAGGAGTTTCCATCTAAAAGACCTTAAACAGGGCCTGCAAAAACTGTTCTCATAGTGTAGGTAGTTCAGAGGAATTAAAAGTTTAAGGCAGGCACACGTAGCCTAAACAGCAATGAAGGCAGGGCATACTTGTTAGTCTGTCTCTGAATATCAGCGAGCTCATTGATAACGCCTTTTTTCAAATCCCTGTTTGGAAAGAAACATCCATAGGAAACAGGATAGAACGATTGCTTCTCACCAATGACAGAAATTCCTTTTCTGAGTTTCAGTACACACGTTTATATGCATACACAAGAGATCAGTTTGGGCTAAAAAATGCTGAAAAATAGCCATATATCTAGATTAAAGATGATTCCATGAAATGCAGAACAGATCTACAGTTTTCATGCCATTCAGATTATCAAAATTACACAGGCTCATTTCAGAAAGTTTGTTTCAACTGCTTTCCTATGACTAGCTTATGTCAAAACACTTCAAAAGAGTTACCTTTCAGCATTCCTAGCATTCAACTTTAAGTGAACTACTTACCTTTGAACATGCTTGTAATTGATTTCCCATAACCTCTAATCTTGATAGCAGCCTGTCCTCATCTATTAAAGCCTAGAAGAAAAGAAGTATCACCTTAGTATTAACATGTGCTTTATGTAGTTGCTGTAGTGTTCTGTTTTAAAGGCTTTAATTTTGTTGGAGTACTTAATACTAACAGTTATTTCAAACTGGCACATACTCACTAAATTTCTTAAAATTTTCTTCTGTATAGTTCAAGAGAATGGCCATAAGCTTTTTATTCTTTCTGCTGCTTTTTTCCCCATTGTTCATAAATTAAGAGCTAAAATTCATACGCCACTGCATGTTTCAGTCCATAAAGCAAAAGCATGCCTGCAGATACCTGCCAACTAGTATCTGAAGCCTCTTGCGTGACAGCAAGTAGTCGCTGAAGGGTTGCCAGCTTCTGTTCCAACATTTGTTCCCGATGTAAGGCTTCCTACAAAGAGAGCAGAGCACCAGTCAGTTCAGCTAGAACAACTCAAAAAAACAGAAGCAACATAAGAGATACCAAAATATAAGGAAAAAAAGGAAGTGTGAGTAGCAAGCACTGTCACATACTCAAAACTATAATAAGCCCATCCCATTTTATCCACCCATTCACTTATTTGGATTATTTTAATTAGAAAATGTTATCCTACAACTTCGGGTTCCTAAAAACCTTCATTTTGCATGCATATGTTGCACATGCTGACCACACATAGTAAGAATTTATTCTTTCCAAGACTTAAAAACACTTTGACTTTTATCAGTAATTTGAGTAACAAAGTTGTAAATGCCAAAAGGTAGCTTGGCAGCTCCCGCGCAATGAGCTGTTCATCCTCAAATCAGGTCATTAAAAAAAAATGCCAAGCAAGAACGACAGTAAGACTGAGCATCTTCGTTAACAATTCCAGGATACAGAGAGTGAACAGATTGGTGAGTGAGTAAGTATTTGGCCTTCCAAGAAAGAGCATCTGCCTGAGCTGCTCCCTGCTATGTCAGCAAATACATATAATGTTAGTATCTGTCTCAGAAGTCTCCTCATTGATGTGAACACATAAAAATTGCCACTAAGAAAGAAAAACAGGTAAAGTAAGTCAGTAGAACTACACATAAATTAAAGCTACATAGAATTTACCAGTAAGAATTTTTTCACATCTGATTTTATGATCCCTTCTAAAGAGTTTGTTTATATGTATTAGCATACACTTTAATGTGTTGCCATTTTGCAGTCTAACCCTTTTATGATGTGACATCTTGGGAAAAAACACACCTATTTAAACTGACACAGGCGCAGGCACAGAAGGCTGGTGATGCCAATGAGGAAGACGAGCTGCCAGCACTGTCCCTTCCCTTATGCTTTCCAATAAATACAGGGACAGAAATACTGACACTAAGAAGCTATATTCACAGAAACTAGTTCTTGACACATGAAGTGACCTCTTGTTTTGCCACTCTTTTATTCTACCAAAACTTTTATACGTGTACACATCACATCCACAGCAGTGGATGATGCCAAAAATAACAGGAGCAAAAAAAACCGGGGGACAGTGAGGTAGGAGAGGAAAAAGGCCAGGAAAAGCAGATACGTAGTGTTCAGGGAGCCTTCTATAAAACAGGGAGCTTACATGTTTCTTTTATAAAAGTCATAGTTCATACTGCTCAAGCAAAACCCCAAAAGTTTACATAGAACCGCACTATGTTCGATTACAACATGGTTTACATTATTTTGCTACAGAAAAAGGTAGTTAAATGCTTATCATGTTCCAATTTACAAAATGCAAGCCAAACAGAGCATAAGACTTGTGTTTTGAACAAAGATTAAATATTTAGTCAAACTAACACTGTCAAGAGAAAAATTACCTGTAGATACTGTGAAAGCTGAAACAATTCCTGAGAATACATACTGGGAGTGTTAGCAGCAACCTGAAAAGTAAAAGACTTTCAGAATCAAAATTGTTTTGGATTTTTCATTAAACTCAAGTAATGCAAAAAATCATCATTTAAATCTAGTCATGATGGCAAACTTCAGATTATCTAACAACTGGGATTTTCAATCATTTATTTTCTTGCTACCATTTTTTTTTTTTTTTAATCATAGAACTTCCCAGCTCTGGACTGAGGCCACACTGTGTTAATGTCTTTACAAGTTCTTGAATCACCAATGTACCAAAGAGTTCCAGGATTTTCTTTCATTTGAGATTAAACTGACAAAAAAGAAACAAGGTGCGACAATGTGAAGCCATTCATCCCAAGGACAAACAGAAATCACAGGCTTCCAGAACTGAAAATAAAATCTCATATTCCGGTTCAACATCATCATATTTTCCCCCCCCCCCCCTTCATCCCACATTTTCTGTTGACTTATTAGCCACCACCTTCATCATTCCCCTTTATAAGTATCTGTTTCAGATCTGGGGAATATCTATATTGTCTCTAATCATAACTGTTCTTGCTGCATATTAGCACCATCACCTTACTTGATTTCTATTCACATGCAGTTAAACAAAGTTTTACTGTGCAGTGCCACTGACTCTGCCAGGCTTAACAAAGCCTGGTTTTTGTCAAGTCTTACTTTATACTTTCTCCAGTCCCAGAAACAGTTCTGCACCTGGGACAGGAGAGGGTCAGCAAACCTGTTTATTTATTAATTCTTGTAGTCTCTTCCTACATCGACATAATTTTGAAGCTGTTTTTCACACAGTTATACCTGCAGTCCCTCCTCAGAGTTTCTGCCCTTGCCCTGGGTTCAAGCTACATACACTGTTTTGAAACCTCAACTTAAATGCAAAGTCTATTAACTCCTTGGGCTGCTAACTTCACAAATAAGTTTCCTTAGTTTCTCAAAATTTTGTTCTTCACGCTTACAACTGCGATTTGAACCTATTCAAGTTAATCCTTGATTTTAGAGGCCAGACAGACAATCAATTCCTGTCACTTGTCTCAAGGTATAACAGCTTTTCTACAAGTCCCCCACATTATCAAAATTGAATTTAACAATTACACAAATCAAATGATGCAATAGCCAAGGATCTGTTAGTCAGTCAACCTGTACCTGGAAATTTAACTGTCTTAACATCAATAGTTTTTTTGCAAAGCCATGTTTCAGGTGCTCTACTGTAAGAACTCAAGCTACATCAAAATACACCCTGCAATACTGCATTAACGTCTCTACCTTAAGTGCCACTCAAAATATTAAGCTAGGTAAAAATAGGCAGACATATCTAAATGTAACTGGACTTAATTTCCTCATCTTCATAACAAGTCAAAAAACAGCCAGTGGCTGAACAAAGCAGAAAACAACGAACTGCTTAATTACCTTGTCAACAGGACTTGGTAATGGAGCATGGATAACACTAAAAAAAAAATTTTGAAGGTGAACACAGTGCAGAACAGCATTTCAGAAATCCAGAAGATCCATACTATTGTGCATTTAATCAAGATGCTTTGTATTCTTAAGTTTATTCTTCAGATAACTGGTTTTGCATATTGGTATGTCAACTCTTTTTAATACTATGCTGGGCAACATTTTGAAAGTTACAGAACTATTTTCAAATTATAAATCCAATGTCTATTCTAAAAAATCTCTTTAGCAACTTTTACTTCAGTAGTTACATAATATTTGATTACTTTAAAACATTTATTAAGATTTAAACCAATTTACATGCACAAAACCATAGGAAAAGAAAGTGGATATACTACTCATTTACAAATTCAACAAACTGAGTAAAATAACATTTGGTAACTTACAGAATTTTGTACACTTTCACTAGAGCGAATGTTATACTTGCACATTTTCATCAAAACTAAAATATTAACACCATACACTTCTATTTTTTATTAGGACATGCAATTACATGGAAAATTTCCAATAATAATTTAACTTATCTCCCTAGAAGCAAAGACACCCTAAAGCTTCAGGCAAATTTTTCTGCATATTGATGATAAAAGAATATTTAAATAAACAGTCAAAAACATAATTGCTGAGAATGAAAGAGGATTATGTCATTTGTAATCGGTACTCATTTACTACAAACAAAATGTTTGCATTTTGTTTCTGCTACTCTCTGAAATTTTCCCCAAATTGTGCACATATACACAGAAAACTCTCTCAATATTCATCTAAGTTTCCAAACATTATTCAAACACATTTTATGATTTTTTCTTCCTTATGCCAGGCAAAGCTTTCTCTCACTGTGACACCAGATAACTGCACCATGAGGACACACTGCTGTGTTACTTATCTGAAGAATATGAAGCGTTATGTGTCCACGTGTACACAGAGAGGCACCATTAACTTCACTTCAGTAGAGTCTATGTGCAGCAAAAGGAGCAAAAATAATCATCCCAAATAAAAAAAGAGGGAAGGAGAATTTGCTCATTTGCTTTCTTTTTTCCTATATTCTTCTGTTTTTAATACGCATTCCAGTACACTAAACCATAGCCAGTCAGAAAAGCCCAACTTGATAAGAACTTCTTTATTCTATTATAGAACTTTTTTATTCTTTCATAGTTGTCTTAATTTCTAAAAGCAATGTGCAAATAAGATTTCTTTATCATAATGCCTGCAAAAGAACCATGCTCTCAGTTTTAGTCTTTGCACGATAAAGGAAAATAAACTGTTCCTTTGTTGATTTTAAATGTAACATTCATCAAATCCTCATTATACAGTAGCTGACTTTTGCTACACTTTAATAGATACTTATTCTTACTCTGATCGCAATCGAGCTTCCATTCCATCTGGAAGAAACAGTTTGATTGTGGAGACTATACATCCATGGGTAACTGAAAAGAAACAAAATACGAAGTCATTGTGATTTGTTACTATTTCATTATAAGTTCAATGGTTAATGTTACAGCAACCAAAATGAACTGTCTGAAGAAACTATGAGGCAGGCAAACAAGAGGAGGCCTGAATGCCTTCAAGCACCAGTGCCTGGGTTTGCCTTCTTGGACCTCCTCTGGAGACAGGAAACATTATCACTGAAAACTTGAAGAGGTTATGCCGAGCACCTGGTCCTGGCTGTGACGCAGTTCCAGCTCCAATTCTTCCATACACAGCAACGTCTGCAAGGCGTCTGTACCGCAGCGAGTTAAAAAAGTTAACTGTAGGTTTTGATTATAAAATGAAGAAAAAGGAATGTGTCTTACCTGTGCTAGGTAACAGGTATGCAGAGGAACAAAATAATGTGCTACTTTTCTGACTATCAGGGACTTTAAAGGTAACACATGCAATTTGTGTTGCCAGACCCTCACCTCAACATCTGGAACTTGCCAAGTCATTGCTATTTACAAACACAAGGGTCAGAAAGGGAACACAGAGGAAGACTGTAGGAACCACTGAGAAGTACACCTTCTTGAACGTGATGAGCAGCAACATTCAAGACAAGACACCTCTATTTTGGTGTGCCTGTAGAACACATCTAATGCACAGCTCTAGACAAGTGGCCTCTCATTTCAGAAGGAGAAAGCTTGCTTCTCCAGGACTTAATCCAAGATTCTTTGAACTCAAGAAAGATCCGAAAGAGCAAGAAAAGGAAATGCCATATTTGATTCTTACATCAGGTTCAATCTCTCTTCACAGTGCTTCCCAAAAGTGTTACCGACACCATTTCCGATGACATTGCAAACAGTCAAATTAATGTCTGTGGGTTTTTTTGTTCCCAGAATACTACCACAAGCTAGATACAAATAAGCATATGGTCACCTATCATCTACCACTATACGTAAAGCACGCACCGACATACAAAGACAAATAGCTGCTCTACTTTCACAGTTATTAATATCAGCAAAACAGTTAATCTGGCATTGAAAAAAAAAAAAGGGGCAATGTGTGTTTTAGGACAGCGGTAGTACTCCAGGGAAACGAGACAGGTCTTTGAGGAAGCTACCTCAATAGAATCTAAAAATACAGGAGAAATGGTCCAACTGAACAGAGTCGTTCTTAACCTTTATTCTGTGCTAAAAGCCAGTGCTTTGGAGAAGTACCCTCTTGGCTGCAGCACCTTGTGTTTTCAAGCTGACCTGGTAAAATATTAAATGTACATGCCAGGGAAGAACAGCCAGGACCTTGTTCTCACACCAGATTAATCCACGGGTATCGGGGTCTTTTTTGGCTTTAAACTTTGGTCCCCAGAATTCACAAATCTCTTCTTGCAGAAAAACATTTAAAGAAACACATCAGCAGTATTAGCTGTAGCAGGTAACACCCACACAGGTTTCATAATGAAGAATCTTTCCTTTAAGGCATAAAGAGGGAACTGGCGGTTCCAAGAAGAAAGTGTGAGGGTATCTGAAATTGCAGACCAACCGACAGCATCACCTCCGGGTCACGTATCAGGTGGGTCTGCTGGCAGATGACATAATTCTCAAGTTTTTCCATCAACACTCAGGCCAAGAAAACACAATCTCCTAAAAGCTGGGGGAGCTTTATTTATGTCAAAAATTAGGAGAGAGAGGGGAGTTAGCAGAAGCTGTCCAACGGAGAGTGACTGCGAAGAGGCACCCAGCATTCTCTATGTTTATAAAATAAAATTAACAAGAAAAAAAGTAAAAAGCCACACCACTCTACCCTTTAGCTATCAGTTCATGCTCAGGAACAATAATTAGAGTAACGAGAAAGCCTAAGGGACAGGCAAAGCAACACCCCAAACGCGACGGCAGCGGCGGCCGGAGGGGACAGCGGCTGCCCCAGCCC